TATAGTTAAATTATATATTTTTTATATTGGAAATCAATGGCTAACACCAAAATATCGCCTTATGTTTTTGTTCAGGCGTTAGTCTAAAAAATACAAAATGGCTATTTATCTACAAAATTCGTAAATGTATGCAACTAAATGACGTTAAAATAGCTATGGGATGATTAAAACTACTTTTACGAATTTTATCGCATTTATTTTTACTTTTTATTTTTAATTCCCGACGTTTCGGGCGCTTTCGAGCACCCATGGTCACGGGGGACTGAGATGACTGACGTCCCGATGTCATTGTTAAACCCGGAGTACCTTCAGCTTTTTTAATTATTGTTTATGGTCCGATCTATGCAAAATGAACTGACTATGTCCTGAGGTCTTGCAGTGGTATGCTTGGGTTTAGTTTTAATTTTATTGATTATAGGATCCCAAGCAGGTGGTAGTACCCAGCCTCCTTCTCTATTGAAATTAGGATGTTTTTTAATTTCAATAGCCTCACGTATCATCCTTGGTAGGAATCGGTGTTCTTTCGCGAGGATTTGTGGTCTATCAAATCTGATGTAATGGTTGGGGCCGTCTAGGATATGATCACAAACTGCAGACTTCCCGGAACGTTGATGCTTCACATCAGTGAAGCTGAAGGTACTCCGGGTTTAACAATGACATCGGGACGTCAGTCATCTCAGTCCCCCGTGACCATGGGTGCTGGAAAGCGCCCGAAACGTCGGGATTTAAAAATAAAAAGTAAAAATAAACGCGATAAAATCCGTAAAAATAGTTTTAATCATGTGCAATGTTCGCGTAAATATAAGAAATCATTAGCTATGGGATGTATCTAGGTGACCTGGAGATGCAGCTGAATTATGTAATTTTTAAACTACATAATTCAGCTGCATAATATAACAAAAATAATATAACATTTTGTCGTAACGTGTTGTGAATGAATTCTGCACCTGATTAAAGTATTATTGTTTCTGACCTGTACTGCCGCTGGATGTCTGTCGGGTCTGGGTCACAGATGACTGTTCTTCTTTATTTTAAAGATATAGCATTCAACTACAATGAATATATTATCATTCCTAATTAAACAATATAACTCTTCCACATATAAAACAATATTATTTCACAATTATTTCTTCACGCACTTTCCATAGCGCAGGAGTTTAGTGCGATGGTGGGAGAATTACGGCGTCCTGAGCAACTACGCTTAAAGTGGGAAAATTTAAAGAAGTCGGCAATGAAACGAAATGCATTGATAAGACAAAATAATTTAAAGGTTTGTAATAAGTACATACATCAAATATTTCGTAACACTACACATTGATTAAAACTACTTTTACGGATTTTATCGCGTTTATTTTTCTATTATTTTTAATTCCCGACGTTTCGGGCGCTTTCCAGCACCCATGGTCACGGGGGACTGAGATGACAGAAGTCTTGATGTCATTGTTAAACCCGGAGTACCTTCAGCTTTTTTAATTATTGTTTATGGTCCGATCTATGCAAAGTGAACTGACTATGTCCTGAGGTCTTGCAGTGGTATGCTTGGATTTGATACTTGGATTGGATACAATGAATGCAAAAATAAACATATTGATAAATACCATAAATTAACAACTAAATCAAATGTCCAACATACGAAATCTTTGACCACAGACACGAATCATAAACAACGCGCTGTCTACAACTTATCAAAACAAACACTGGACGACGCCACAATAAAAGTTTTAGAAAAAGGTGTGAATTTCGCAATAACACCGCGAAAAATACCGTATGAGGACATTATCTGTAGTGTTGAGGACTGTCTGTATAAAAATAACATTGGTAATGAAGATTTAGAGGCCATACGTCAAGTGAGTTCAGCGCCGAAATTAAATCTTCCCAAAAATGAATTTAACGCGTTGAAAAACTTACGCAACAGACCAGAGCTTACGATTCTCCGCGCTGATAAAGGCAATGCTACGGTTACAATGGATACGTCAGATTACAATTTTAAAATACAACAACTTTTATCGGATGAAACTACATACCGAAAGATCAAAACAGACCCTACAACTAATACGCTTAAAACAACTAGCGATCTAATTAAGAAATACCCCGAGAAATTGAATCTGGACGTTAATTCGATAATACCTTCATGTGCCAAACCACCGAAGTTGTATGCGTTACCAAAAATACACAAACCGAACGCTCCATTACGTCCAATAGTGGACTCAGAGGATTCCGTTTTGTCAGTGAGATAAAAGACCTACGTCTTACTGACAATGAAACCATGGTCAGTTTTGATGTTCAGTCTCTATTTACATGCGTACCTGTTGAAGACTGCATCTCAATTATAACTAGGAAACTAGAGGAAAATAATATGCCAGCAGAATATGCAGTATTGCTCAGACATTGCCTTACATCTGGCTATCTATTGTGGAAGGAAGAGTTTTACAAGCAAGTAGATGGTGTTGCGATGGGCTCACCTGTATCTCCCATTGTCGCCGATATATTCATGGAAGATTTTGAGGAGAAAGCCCTCCTTACTGCACCTGTTACACCAAGGATCTACAAGCGGTACGTAGACGATACTTTCACAATTTTACCATCAGACAAAGTAACTGCATTTTTAGAACATCTTAATTTCATAAACTCTAAAATTCAATTTACTATGGAGTTAGAGGCAAATAATTCCTTACCTTTCCTAGATGTGTTAGTCATCCGAAATCCTAACAACACCATTGGTCACACTGTGTATAGGATAAAGAACCATACAAACCGATATTTAAACGGTGAATCTCACCACCATCCTTCACAGTTAGCTACCGTGGGCAAATCTTTGTTACAGAGAGCACGAGGGATCTGTGGCAGCAACCACCTGGCCGCCGAGCTTCAGCACGTCAAGCAAGTTCTGCACGACAACAAGCTGCGGGTCCCGCGCCAACGTCACAGTGACCGAGTGAAGCCGGCCACAGTCGAGCGTGTGCCTGCTGTACTACCATATGTTAGAGGTGTCACAGACAAGATTGGCTACATCTTGAAGCGAGCTTATATTAGAACATTCTACAAGCCGCCGAAGAAGATTAGTCAGTTCCTACCATCAGTCAAGTGTCATATTCCTCTACAAGATGCAGGAGTGTACAAGCTTGATTGTGAATGTGGTCTCTCTTATATAGGACAAACAAAAAGATCAATTAGAACCCGCGTAAAAGAACATATAGCTGATGTGAAGCATCAACGTTCCGCGAAGTCTGCAGTTTGCGATCATATCCTAGACGGCCCCAACCATTACATCAGATTTGATAGACCACAAATCCTCGCGAAAGAACACCAATTCCTACCAAGGATGATACGTAAGGCTATTGAAATTAAAAAAACATCCTAACTTCAATAGAGAAGGAGGCTGGGTACTACCACCTGCTTGGGATCCTATAATCAATAAAATTAAAACTAAACCCAAACATACCACTGCAAGACCTCAGGACATAGCCAGTTCATTTTGCATAGATCGGACCATAAACAATGTAGTGTTATGCTACTTACATATCATTTTACACTATTTTAAATTTATTTTTCCATTCTGTTTTTAATTTTCTGCATTCGCCTCAAAACTGGATATTTTGCATCACCTGTATTTCCATAGGATTCTGTAACGTTTTTAAACCGTAAGAACACAATAACAAATCATTTTCACTTCGTATTTTCACGTTATCAGCACTTTTTAAATCGGTGTCAATGGAGTCTACCTTTTTCGGTCTTTTATTTAGTTCTCCGTAACTCTGCGATTTCGGGCTTCGTGCGCGCTGTTGCGCTACCTTTTTTCCTATATCAATAATATCTCATTTTTCACTTAAATCTTGCCGTTTCTCTATTACGAGCCTAAAACCAAAATTTGACATGTTTTGACATCGTTGTTTATCTGGTTGTCATGGCAATTTTTATTCAAATTCGTTACCGCTCTGATGTTTTTACCTCAATACTTTCACATAAATACTCTTTTCCTCTTGGCCATTTACAAAAATTTGCTTTGAATTTAAATAATTTCAAATTTAATTTAAATAATTTCCCGTTCTTATCCCAGATCCGTCAAAAAGTATAAAAGCTGAACAATCGGCCAATAAAGGCAAGTCTCACTTCAGCTTTCATACTAGAAGCACCTCCTAAAGGCCTTATCCGCACTGCCCCGGGATCCTGCAAGCCTCTGCCTTCTCCTGAAGTCGTCGCCTAGCCACGCCTACGCCTCCACCTACTAGTGCCCGCGCTATCTTTAGCCGCTGTGCGTGCTTACTCTAGACGCTGCGTGTACCTACTCCAGACGCTGCGTGTCTCCTCCGGGCGCTGTGTGTGTCTACTCCAGGCGTTGTGTGTGCCTACTCCGGGCGCTGTGTTTGCCTACTTCAAGCGCCGCGTGTACCTACTCCAGACGCTGCGTGTCTACTCCGGGCGCTGCGTGTACCTACTCCGGGCGTTGCGTGTGCCTACTCCAAGCGCTGCGTGTGCGTTCTCCAGACGCTGCGTGTGCCTTCTCCAGACTCTGCGTGTACCTAGATCAGGCGCTGTGCACCTACCACAGGCATAGCCTGTGCATACTTCGTTTCAGTACTCATTTATCTTTGTTATTTTTTTTTAAATTGTAATTCATCGTCACCTTCATACCTTTTTTTTTATAAAAGAAACTGTAAATATCTTTACAAATTTTAAATAAATTATTTTCTTTTTGGTTGTTTCGTTGTTGTTAGGTTAGGTTCTTTAGTTTTTAATTGTCGCTTTACGACAACAATAATTAAAAAGGCTGAAGGTACTCCGGGTTTAACAATGACATAGGGACGTCAATCATCTCAGTCCCCCGTGACCATGGGTGCTGGAAAGCGCCCGAAACGTCGGGAATTAAAAATAATAGTAAAATAAACGCGATAAAGTTCGTAAAAGTAGTTTTAATCAATTTCGTAACATTTTGTGATATATACCTAATCATCTTAGAACACTAATATGCATTATTTCTATTTAAACATTTTTGTTTGCAGACCGGTGGTGGAAACTGGACCATATAACATCTATGTTGGGTGCAACATGCACGGGGTTCACTGTGGAGTTTGGTGGTGACAGGGAAAAAGAAATGATGCCACCAGATGCGGTTGTGGAACTCATTGATTTACAATCTTTGCCGGAGCATTCAGAGACTATTAATAGTGATTTGGTGATGGGAGGTGGTGTTAGTGCTGAGTGTGGTGGTGATAGTGAGAAAATTTTCACACCAAAAAGATTTATTTTTAATAATCCCTACAAACCCTGTAAGTTATATTTTACCTCAGTTGTTAGTTGCTACTAAACAAAACATACCATCTCTATGGTCTAGTGGTGTGAATGCTTTTTGCATGTTTTTAACAACTTTGTGTTTTTTTTGGTTCATCAGGAAATCTTCAGGCTGGTCACCCAATTGTTTGATGAACAAGCCAATGAGTGGAATAGGCATGTAGTACAGTTGGTACTGTGTAATTTCTAATGTAGTTTGGATATTAGTAGTTACCAATATGTTTTTATGCCGTCTCCTGTGCCTGATTTCTGTGGTCATCAGTCATCAAATCTATCAAACTAGGGACGTGTAAAATATGAGAATTTAACTATGTTTTTTATTTTCACAGTAAAGAAACGCCAAAAGCCCTCTGAAGAACTACAACGGGCTCAGATAAGAAAGGAGTTAGCCATGGCTGCTTATATTGAAGCCAAAACTGAAGTAGTTAAACTTGAAAAAATAAAACTACAGTTAGAAATAGAAAAACTAAAATAAAATCTATTTTGTACCTTGATTTTTATTAACCTTTTTGTAATAAAATAATTATTGAAATAAAGCACATCTAATCTAGTACTAGTTAACATTATTTACACTTTAAAATTCTAATATTGTTAAACATTATTTACACACTAAAACTCTGATATATACAAACACTTGCACACTAAAATAATTATTAATTAGTTCAGCATAGCAAATTCATCCTAATATTGTTAAACATTATTTACACACTAAAATTCTTATATAATTAAACATTTACACACAAAAATAATTATTAATTGGTTCTTGTCTGACGCTGTGATTTTGATGACCTATCCCTTCAGCATAGGTAATGTCATCTAATTCATGTGGCATTGTAACTTCTGGATCCCTTATATTATTTAATCTGCAGATGTTGTGAAATACAGAGGTGGCAATAATATTTGCCTGTGTAGACTGCATAGCTACACGGATTTTCAGAGAGAGTATAGGAAAGCGCTTTTTCCACACACCAAAACATCTGAAAATTTCAAAGTATTTTACATTATACTCATGAAATTTTTGAAATAAAATGTTAATAAATTTATATTAATATTTACCTTTCACTAGTATTTCTAGTCTTTATATGTGCTTATATGCATGCTTATATGCATACAAACGTAGTCTGGCGATTACTCCACTGTTTGATGTATTCCCGAATGGAAACAAATAAGTAAAAAAGAGTATGTTTAAAAGTTATAAGCGTCGAAAACTCCAAATTTCAACACTAGTTTTAACACAGTTTTGGGCGGAAATAAATACCATAAGAAGAACGAAAATTGCAAAACAGTTACCACGCAGGGATAGATTAGTTGTTCAAAAATACAAATAATTTTATTTTAAACAGATACATTCCATAGTTTTTTCATGACATCCAGACTACCAAAGGTCTGTTTATAAAATTTCGCGCGCACCTTTTTGTTGTAAATCATCTTGCCTTTCGCTACAAATTGTTTCCCCGATCAGTGGGACGGACGGAGGGGGGGCGCAGCACGCACTCACACATGCTCACTAGGTTAGCCGCTACCTTTGAGTATTAAACCAAGAAATACTCAAAGGCCGCTGCTATCTATTTACGGTTGTAATACCTACACATCTACATCTTTATTTAGAAAAATTACTTCATTTTGTTCGTATCCATTGCTGAAGCCGGGATGAATATAGCTGCTAAAATATGCCCATAAGTTTGTTGAAGCACATTTAGTTAAAATTGAAAACAGGTAGGTACGTAATAATGAACTTTCGATACAGGTGGTACATTAGGTACTTAACTACATTAATTTGCTAACTAACGAAAACATCTCATAGATAAGCACGATTATCGAAAATCTTAAAATTGTCTATTAATTTAATTAGAATAGGTAATTTTAGATTTTCGATAATCGTGCTTACGTATAGGAATCTCATATCCTAATATACCTAATGTAATTTATGTAAGTACATAAGAATCTAAGAAGAGCAGTCAATGATAAATAAAATTTGTTTTGTAAGTTGTTTTTTTTTTTAAAAAACTTTAACACAACAAAAACATGAAACTGAGAACAAGCAGCCGATCTGCCGAAACAAACTCAAGAGAGGTCAGTCCAGGTATTACATTGGTCATGTCATACCAGCACCAGGCTAATATGCTCCTTTGAAGAAAGAATCATACAGATGTGAGTGGACAACTTTAAGAAATTAAAAAAAAATTAAAAATTTCCTTTATTTCCAAAAATCCTATTACAAATATTTGTCGAGTCTTCCCTTTAAGTAGTCAGAGACACTTGTGTTGGGAATAACTCGCTACTTCCCTAATAGCCCTTACGCACTGTCGACTAGTCGCCGGCGACTCAGTTGTCGACGACTGTAATATTGTATAGTTTAAATAGGTGTTTACGCACTAGTCACCGGTTGCCCGGGCGACTCGGCGACTCGCCGCGCAGTGGCGACGCACAGGCAACTGCCGATCGCCGGCGACCAATAGGAGCACGGTTTCAAATGAAAGCATTCACACTGCGAGCAACTGTCGTAACGACCGGACGGCCGCGCACAATGAGTTTTGACACGGATAAATTTATATCGGAAATACAATCCCGAAAAGCTATTTGGGATTTACAAAGTGAGGAATATGCTAATCGGGATTTGAAGAAAAGACAGTGGGAAGAAATAGTGGAGTTATTTGGAGGTGAAGAATTATCAGACGAAGAAAAAAAACTCAGGTATGTAAGAAATGCCATTTATTTTTTATTAATTAATACTGCTCATCTGCCAAGATAATTGACCCTCAGTTGTAAAGTAATCAGCAAATACATCTCTGTATGATGCACCACGTCGCGTAGCTCTTTGGAAACCGTTTGGGACTTCTTCAAAGCCAGGAATGCTCAGGGTATCTTCAAATTTATATTCCGTCTCTTTCTCGGACATAGTTGTGAAGAGCGCAACATGTTTTGATGATGCATGATACTAGATCTAAATTCACGTTGATAGGTCTGTGAAAAATCTGCCACTTGTTTGCTAATATGCCGAATGAACATTCAATATGGCGTCGTGCACGAGAAAGCCTATAATTAAATATTTTTTTCTTTGTTGTTAAATTTGATCCACCGAACGGTCGCATAATTTTGTCAGTTTGTCCAAATGCTTCGTCACCCACAATAACAAACGGTACTGGTATAGGGTTTGTCGATGAAATGGGCTTAGGTTCGGGTATTGGCAAATCATTGTTCATTAGCTTTTGATAAAACGTTGAATTTGTAAATATAGTTGAATCGCAATCCTTTCCATAGGAACCAACGTCTATGTATATGAACTTATAGTCAGAGTCACAAATGGCAAGCAAAATTACAGAAAAGAAGTGTTTGTAATTATAACACAATGATCCACTGTTGTATGGTTTTATAATTCTTACATGCTTACCATCTACGGCACCTATGCAATTTGGAAAATTGGCCCGTAAATGAAAATCTTTTGCGATTTTTAACCAATTTTCTTTTGTCGGTTGCGGTAAACACATGTATTTTAGTACAACCCATATAAAATGACAAACTTCTCTTATTATTTCAGCTATAGTTGAAATCCCAAGTCTGTATGAGTAATGTAAATCTACAAATTTACAACCGCTTCCAAGATATCTGGAATTAAAAAATAATTTAAATATATACATTATTTACAGGTCATTCACTTCAAAAGAAATGGAAAAATATAAAAAAGCTGCTTTTCGCGAGAAGTACGAAGATTAAAAAATACTAAAAGCGGATCTGCTGCTTCCCATAAAACTCCCCATATTTATTATAATCAGCTGTTATTTTTGAAGAATACCGTTGGTAATTTGAACACAGAGAGTAACATTGCTGAACAAGAACATTTGACAAATGATCAACAACCTTTAGGACCTTACTCGAGAGAAAATATAGTCGGAAGAAAAAAGAAAAAAAGGTCAGATGATGGCACAAGCGAACTGTTAACCACATTAAACAAGTGTATTGAAACTCGCAAAAATAAGGAGGATATTTTGGAACAAGATGAGAACAGAATGTTCCTGATGTCCCTATTATCATCATTTAGGGCAATTCCGGAGCACAAAAAGTCAGCTGTGAAAATTCAATTAATCAGTGTAATCGAATCATTCCGATCCTCTACTCAAAATAATATATATCCAAACACAATGTGGCGAAATTTTAATGAGTACGAGTATGAGCGTGGTTACTTCAGACCGGAGGCCGGGCGTTCAACAGCACCAAGTCAACAATCACGCCCTGAAGCACAACATTATTATACGCTACCAACTTCAACTCCTTCAGAACGTGAACGCCCAGAGTCGCGATTTTCTACTGTCACTTCAAATACCTCGCAAGATTCTGACATTTTGGATCTATTTTGAATATTTACTTTTGTTGTGCGTTCGTTTATAATATTGATTTCATTAAGTACTTAAAAAAAATACATGTTTTATAATTATTTACCGTATATTTTTAAATTATGTCATCGAAGAGTAGACTTACAGATAGTGCCATCCACGAAGACGCGCCCCACTCTTTGTTCAAATGCATGTGTGCTATCTTCCGCATGTGTTAAACATCTGTCGATACACGCTAATTATCGATGAATGCAAACGCACACTAATAGAAATTGACTAATCAGGAAAGAGTATTATGAACAGCACGAAAGATGCTCTATTTAAATTTAATCGCGCATCTTCGTGGATGGCATTATCTGTAACTCTAAACACACTCCCGGACACATCTATCGGCCCACCTTGAGTTTTAAGTTTTGACTGGAGACCAGCTAAAAATAAATGTTAGGAGGAGCAATAAGTTTTTGCAGGTGTGAAGCTGATTTACTGGCCATCGTTTTCGTAAAAAACTGCATAAAAACTTATTGCACCACTTAACATTTATTTTTAGCTAGGGATTGTCAACACTTTAAACACTAGGTTTGGTCGATAGATGTGTCCGGGAATGTAATGTAAATTGTGTTAAAATCCCGTAAAAAATAAATGTTAGGAATGAATTTTATTTCAATTGTCACTTACCTTAGTGTTATAAAAAGTTTTTCTTCCGGAGAAATACATGGTCGCATATTTGTATCTATGCCAGTTATATGTGGTTTTAGAAGACACAATAAGACATCAAACGAACTCACAGACATTCTTGCATAATTAAAAAATTTACGAGGATATTTTCTAACGTCTTCATAAAATATTTTAAACATTCCCTTTGACCTCCGTTCTTCTAACAAAGGATGCACCCAATACTCTTTTGATTTTTTTATTTGTCTTTCTTTTTATAATTAGTAGCGCCGCTACTATTGCAAGTTCTTCAACGTCCATTCTGCACGAATGTACTTGGAATACTGTCGCTCGGCTCGGTCTCCGGGCCCTGTTTCCCATGTTTCAGTCGCCGAGGGACTGAGTCGCCGGCGACTAGTCGACAGTACGTAATAGCCCTTACGGTTGGCTAAATAAGATAAACTAGGTAGGTATATTACATCTAAAAGGTTAGTTTAGGATGGTATGGTTTACATTTTTTTTTACATTGAAATATTACATTTTTGAAATAATTCAAATTTAAATTTAAATTGCGGCTCTAGTGGCAATGAACTATTTTCATGTAAGCATGTATGGTAGTATATAAAATGTGCGTGAGTGTGTATATATGTTTGTGTGCGTCTGTACATGTGTGCGTGTGTGTGTGTGTGTGTGTACATGTATATGTGCACGTAGTGTGTGAATGAGTGTATGTATGTGTGTATACGAGCTCGTGTCTGTATAAGAGTGTGCATGTGTGCATGTGTTGGTTACATGTATGCCCTACGGATAAGGTTCCTTGGGATCGGTATGAACATTCCGCATACAGAAACCAGCATAAATTGAACCAAACATTTTAACAAATTCTTATGAGAAGGTTTTCAACATCTTCATAGCTAAGTGAATCCAACCATTCTTTTACAGTTTTCCTGCAAGTGTAAGATAACATGGGGTATATTTTAAGTATACTGTTTACTTTGTTGTATATATAAGCAGACTGCCTACTATATTGTCTTCTAGCGAACGCAGTACTGTACAGTAGTTTATCAGTGGGAAAACGAAAAGGTTTGGAGTAGATGACTCTGATAAGTGATCTCTGAGCTCTTTCGAGTGCAAGGAAGTGAGTTTTGTCTGCTCCTCCCCAAATCGAGATACAGTAGGTGGGCACCGATTGGGCCAGGGCCACGTAGATTCGGTTTTTAAGTTTGTTACACATGACCTGCCGTAGTGATTTGAATACCCATATGAGTTTCCTAGTGCGGTTTGTTAAAAGCTCCAAATGTGAGTGCCAGCTAAGTTGTTGGTCCAGCATTATACCTAGGTATTTAGTTTGGCTAACTTTTTCAATAATAGGACAGTCGCAAATCAGGTTGCCAGGGTTAGTGCAAGTGTGAATTTTAATGGCAAAGTTATGGTTAGGTTGGGATTTATTAGAAGGAGTGAAGCAGATGTAGTTAGTTTTCTGAGTGTTCAAGGTAAGAGGGTCTCTAAGCCAGTTATATACGTTAATTAATCCCCTCTCAGTACTTTCTTGGACATTATTCCAGGTGCTACCAGTAAAAACAAGCGCAGGGTCATCCGCGTTACATAGATCATTTATGTATATTAAAAAGAGAGTCGGACCCAGGACACTACCTTGTGGGACTCCAAAACTAGTAGTGGCTTTCTCACTGTATAAGTCATTTATTTTTACTTCCTGAGTTCTTTCCTGTAGGTAACTTTTAAAAAGCATGAGCGGAGTATCCCTAATACTAAGCATTCTAGCCTGTATATAAGAATAGGCACAGAGACGGTGTCGAAAGCCTTTTTCAAGTCCAAAAAGACTGTAAGACATTTGCTGCCATTGTCCACTTCACCAACTATAGTTGAAGTGAGATCAAGAATAGCATCTTGATTTGAAAGACCCTTTCTGAAACCATACTGAGAATTGGATAGTAGTTTAAATTTATTTAGGTAATCAACCATCTATTGTTGAGCAACTTTTCAATTATTTTGGAGATGGAGGTGAGGACAGAGGTAGGTCTATAATTGCTTACATCCTCTCTGTCCCCGCTCTTATGCACAGGGGTTACTATTGACCTCTTTAAGGCGCTGGGAAAGACACCAGTACTAAAGCAAAGGTTTGCAAAATGCATGCTTTAAAAAACCAGTGCTGATACCATCCCATCTAGGTGAGCTCCCTGAGTTTAGACTCATCAAGATGCGCTCAACTTCTTTGTCGTCAGTGTTAAGCAGGACGAAGGACGAGGTTTGTGTATAATTAGTGGTAGGGGCTACTAATACACTACTTCTAGTACCTGAATTTGTTGCAATTGTTTCAGCTAAGCTAGCACCTATACAGGCAAAGTAGTTGTTGACATAGTTCAATGAATCTAGTGGCAGCGGTTTTAAGTTCATTAGGGCTACATTATTTGACTTAGGTGGTTTGTACCGAGTGATCTCATTAACTGTTTTCCGGAACTTACAGGGGTTATTGGCAGATTTTTTAATAAGTTCTCCATGATGCTGTCGTTTAAGTTTTTAATAAGGTTGGAACAGAAATTTCGAAAACGTTTGTAATAAGTTATTTTTAAGATTATATTGTGGGGGTCATTTTCTACCTTTTGTTGCAATTTATTTCTTAGCCTTATACACCTCAGAGCTCCGGGAGTTATCCAGGGTTTTAATATCCTTTTACTGTTAGAAGAGTGGGTTAATTTAGAGTTTTGTTGGATAGCTGACTTAAGTATATTAATTAAGTGGTTGGCAAATTCTTCATTGGCTATTTGGCATTTCTGAAAGTGGGACACTCGTCGATATGAGGGTATTATATGCCCCATCAAAATCTGTAATTAACTTCGACTTAATGGGGGCTTTTTGGGTCGATGTTTTAGATAACTGAAGCAACACAAGATTGTGATCTGTGACCGTCGTGTTAAGAACGGCAATAAAAGCTGCAATGAGGTTGACTTCAAGTTTTATCATTACGTGGTCAAGGCAGGATCTCTTTCTCGTAGGTAAAGTGTGACCAGGCAATAGGCCATGCAGGGATAATATTTCTAAGTAGCTGAGTCTATTACGGCGATACTGAGGCTTCTCTGTAGCTACGGAAAGCAGGTTAATACATATTTATGTCACTTAGACACATTTTAATGATGACTAATAGTTTCCAGGTGTAAGTCGAGAGAACTAGTAAAGCTATCGGCGTTGAGAAAAGAGGGGGAGCGGTATATACCCAGCAAGACATATTTATCAATCTCTATTTGTAGCCCAGTAGCGTCAGAGAGGTGAAGGTCAATAACCTTAGCTCGGTGATTGTTTTTGATATAAGCTACTACACCATCATTCTAATTTAAAAGTTTACTTGATTGGTAGGAGGTGTAATTATTTAAAAATGGTATTGGTTTGTTAAAGTCTAATCTGCATTCAGTAAGTATTAGAACGTCAATTTCAAATTTCAACACTGATAGGGTAACCAAAAGGTCGTCGAGGTTCTTATAGATACTAGCCATATTTTGCGTTACAATAAATAGATTGTTACGGAAGGAACCCAACCCATGGTAAGTTAAATCTTCTATATTACATTTTATCGAGTGTGTTATTTGCATGCACTCTAGTTCCTGGTTAGTGAGCTGGCTATCCATTTAAAAAAGAGTAAGTACCGAGTAAGAGTAAGTACCGAGTAAGCAGAGGTTAATAAATAGAGTGAAGAAAAGTTTGTTAATAACACTTGCAAGTAGGCACGAGAATAGGTAGATTTCATCAATATGAATAGGTTGTTAACATTGTAGTATGTAAGAGTGAATGGTTGTTGTAGTATGTTATGTGTTTGTACTGTGGGTGTAGTTTTTTGTAAATGTGTAAATAACGTGTTTATGAGGTGTGAGCGTGTGGTATTGTATATAGGTGTGTTTGGTTGTTGTATTTTTACAGTTTTTGAGACCTGAGGTATATGTGTGCAAATGAAAGTTGCGCTAACAGGAGATGAACAGTTTACAACGGTTTTCTTACCAAGAACAATATAATAATATGTATATTGAATAAAGCAGAGAGAAGTCGCCATTGGATCGTTTGAATATAGTCATTTTTGTTGAAGAAGTTGGTGCACCTGTGCCTCGCTCTGGATGCATATAATCTTAGATGTATCATCTTTTCTCACAAAAACTTTTCCAAACGCAGTCCAGCAGTATCTATACCCGTTGGATTTGGCGAGATCCCGAGACAGGAAGAATAGTCGGGCACCCTTAGCGATGAGCTGCTCTGATACATAAACAGGCGTGTCCTCGCTCGTAGTAATGCCTAGGTGTTTTGCTTGTAATCTGCACTTATTTTTGTTGTAGAACTACTTAAACTTTTTTAATATTTCAGATTTCAAGATCGTGGATCCTAGTTCCCATATTATGGGGGAATTTTTCTCCCTGTCATTACGTGGTCTAATTCTGAAAATATCCTTAATATCCCGCGCACACAAATCAAGGCTGATATTTTTCGATAGAGAAGTTATCATATTTATTAAATCATTCCTGGTCTCAGAGGGTTTACGTAGAACATTCTTTAGCTCTAGACTAGCTTTGCGTGACGTCCTTTGGAGATCTTCAATTTTGTCAATGTTTAGTGTTTTCAATGTGTAGTGTTCGCGTAAATATAAGAAATCATTATTCAATTTTGTCTTCAAGTATATTTATGTACTCGCGATCCTTTTTTGCTTGAGCTTTCAGTTTCTCAATTTTCTTTTGGAATTTCTCATTTTGCAGAGTTAAGAGAGATACACGCTGTTCAATGTTTGAAGAAGTTTGTTGGAGGGACTTAAGTGTGTTCGTGATTTCCAAATGTCAGTTTTTTTACTCACTAATAAATGACGTAATGAGTCTAGTCATCTCCTGTTTAAAATCAAGGAACTGAGACGGCGAGAATTCATCCTCTCTTGGTCTTCTATTATTACGAAGAAAGACATAGCTGGGGGGAGTATGTTCATACTGTGTATCCATCAAGGCTTCAGCTTGAAGCCCCATACCGTCGCTCGCATCAGATTGCTGCTGTAGATTATTTTCCCTCGAAGTTGTAGACGGAGGTGTCCTCTGAACCGACATTATGGAACTATGTGCGTAGGCCTAAATGCGTTATAAAAGCCGACGAGAATGCGTATTGTGTAGCAGGCGTAGCGACCGATAACAGCGTGATATCACCCAAGTAGGAGGAGTTGCGTGTGCGATTGATTGGTTGGCAGGGCTAGCCGGTCAGGTTGCGCGAAAGCAGGTCTTGCATATATCTCGTTATCTTCGTCCTACAGGTGGTAGTCCCGTTCACACTTAGCGCTACCGTCACTCGCCGTAAAGTCGCACGTTATTTATGTTCGCCTAGTACTCGAAACGGAATTTTAATAGAATATTTATTTTTATTTACTTTTAAAAATTAAATACAAGTTTCTAGCGAACACGATCGCTCAAGTGCAACATCCGCGAGGGAAGAGCACAACTAAGTATTTTTTAGGATTCCGTACCCGAAGCGTAACCAGCAGGGCCCTATTACGGAGCCTCCGCTGTCCGTGTGTCTGTCAGCGGGCTGCATCTCATGATCCGTAATAGGTAGATGGTTGTAATTTTCACAGAACGTGTATTTCTACTAGAAAAAGAAACGTGTATTTTTAGCTTTTTTTGATCGATAGTAATATGTATAGGTATTTAAATCTTGTAAGATAGTACGGAAGCTCGGAAATCCGATTCGCACTTGGAAAAATATTTGTTTATATTTAACCTTACCTCAGACATACTCATATTTTTTTTATATATAATTTACTATACTACTATATAAGCTACTACTAAATAAAATAGTTGTAGCTTTGCTATGGTATTATAGTATATTTTGGATTAGATTTAATTTATTACAGACTAATACGAACTGTATAAAAACTAAGGAGCGCATCAACCTACCTCGGATATTGGGTTATGAATACAGATAAGTACACATAGGATTTAGTTTCTAAGTTGTACATATTTTTTATAGCCTTCGTTATGAATAGCATAAACAGGCCAAGCCCCCTAGCCTACAAACGTTTCGTAACAAATCTCTTTCTACAATCGCGCCTTTTATTTGTTTGGACTGACCACCTAACTCGGTCAGTGATGTAATTCCCATACAATGTTTGGTTTTCAACTGCCGTTATCCATCATAAAATAAATCAAAATTTTATTTCGCTAATTGGTGTCTGTACTGTGAATTTGATTTACAGTCGATCTCTAAATTGTAGTTTTCTTCTAATTACTTACCTTGTCTAGACGCGTTCTTTGGACTTCTGTAAGGAAGTCTGTGTTGTTAGTATTCCGATTATATATGTTACTATTTTGATAGACGTTTGTGCTTGTCCCTGCAGTGACACAATTCCTATTGTTAATAACTTTCTAAGTACTAACTGCCGCACTCAGAGAGCTGCACTAAATTCACCCTAACGAATAATTAACAAATTATCATTATCTTAGTTAATGAGTGATACGTCCCAGAGACTAAATTTAATGATTCATTAGCTAATGAGTAACTTAAGGACACATGTGGCCGTGCTAAGCAATATCGATAGATGTCGATAAGTCGTAAGGGTTGCTATGTAAATAAATTGCTTTCCGGAAATAATAGCTTTTCGTCTTTATTCAGTACAAACATATTAATACATATTAGTAAACACTTCAGTGTGATTTTTTCCAACACATAACAGTAAAAAGTATTTTTAAACCATACACAGCACCGTAATAACTGAAATTACAAATTTATTTTTTATTGTGGCAATCGACACCAGATGCCAGGCAGATGTCAGGAGTGAATGTCATTGTTAAACAAACTTTCTATTCTATCTTCTCAAGAGCCAAAGTGTATAGTAATATATACCTCAGAGCTTTGTGTAAATTATTGTTTTGTATCGTGTTTAGTTCACAGAATACTTTTACTCCTAGCGGAGACTACTCCTAGTTTAGTTGTTATTAATTCGTCGTACTAGTAGCATCGGATTCTCGTGGTGTATTCAGTGATCCCTACCTGTTATTTCAACGGAACCCGCACACAATATCCAACATATATTTTGGATAAATAACAAGTGACAAGAAAAATATGGTAAGTAGTTCGACTAGGTACTAATTTACGCTTTTTATGCCAGACGAGATTAAGCATTAAAATTAATGTGCGTTTCATTTTAGGAGCCGAAAACACCATACTCAAGAGTGCCTAATTTCACCAGCGATGAAAAGGCCTTGTTAGCAGCCCTAATAATGAGTAAACCAATTGTGGAGTCGAAAGCAACTGACGGCAAGTCAGTTGATAGTAAGAAAACTGCATGGGAGTCCATAACGCAAGAGTTTAATTGCCAAGCTTATGTCTATAAGGTGCATAAACTTACACTTTATTTTATCATTTTATAAGCTATTGGCTAAGCTTTAAGCTATAAATTACTATTATGAAGTGTTTTGTTACTTGTTATGCTCTTGTACTTCTCTTCTACTTCCAGCGTGATACCGTTAATTTAAAGAGGGCATGGGATAACATGAAGGCTTTTACACGTAAAGCTCGTGCAGCTGAACGTGGTAGTTTATTTAAAACTGGAGGGGGACCCGTAAAACCTACTCTTCCACCACACCAAGGAGCCATTATAAGCATGGTAGAAGAAGTAGGTATAATTATAAATTTTGTTTTTAATATAAAGCTGAAGTAGCTTTTTTAATAACTTTATTTTTTAGGCAGCACCTGTTATAATTTGTGAAGTGAAAAATTCATTTGATAGTGATGGATGCCTATTAAGTTCACTTGAAGAGGACGAAGTGAAACCCAGTGATTGCAAAATAGGCATGTTATGTAAAATTATAACTTTATATTATTAAAAAAACTGTATATGAGCCGTATATGAGCCAAATCATCTAAACATTTGATTCGAATGATTTCAGATGACAATGACGCTCACCACTGAATTTCCAATTCAAGTTATAAATAACACAGGTAATACATATAAAGAAAAAACTTCATTTCTATAGCTAATATATAAAATACTGTTTGTGTGTATTTTAAACATGTAAAATACACACAAACAGTATTTTATATATTAGCTATAGATATATATTTTTTCATCAGGAACTCAAGATGAACAAAACGTTCCATTTAGCCCAACTGATTGTGTTCTTCGAAAGCCTGCCGATTATATAAGAAGAGAAGGTGTTTTAAGAATAAAAAATTTGGAAGTAAAAAAACGACTGGAGGCAAAAATATTAAATTCAAAGGTTTTTTTTAATACATTATATATAATAATTTACTAGCTACCCTAAAATCAGCTTTTTGAAAACATTGCTAGCGTACAGCAAACTCACATTGGGTTATTATTTTAGTTTGTTAGTTTTATTTTAGGTTATTTTCTTTTTTAAATTTAAATGTAAATGTTTATAGGCCACAGTATCCACTGACCATCAGGTAGATTGTGTGCTTGTTTGTCACACCCATTCTATAAAAATAACATAACTGTAATAAGTAGTTTCAATGACTAACTCTAAACTAATATATATTATTTTCTTTTACAGTTGGCTACTCAAGAAATCAAACAACAGGCAGCAGAACTAGAATTACAGACAAATAAAATTCTTTTGGAAAAAGCTACATTAGAATTGAAGTTTTAAAAAACAGTTTACAAAATAAAACAAGTGATTAGTTAAATTATGTTTTATTTTAACCTTGTTTAATTTTTTTTTACTATTGAGAAAAAAATCTATTGACAACAGATTGTCTGACCAAAAAACCATTACTGTTGGGGTTTTCTTGTACAGGAACATTATCGATGTTACTGATTAATATATCGCCATCAGTGTCATCAGTAGAAGGCATCATGACATCGTCTAACATTGTTGATATATTGTGCAGAGTGGCACATGCACATATCACTGCCACAACGGTTTCCTTTTTGATCCCCATTCCCATCTGGAGACAAGGAAACCTCGGTTTCCAAATTCCAAAGGTCCTCTCAACAGTATTCCGTGTTTTAATATGACTATTATTATATAGTTCTTGTCCAATACTATTAGGTGACAAAAATGGTGTTAGCAACACACTGCTAACTGCATATCCACTGTCTCCAAGTAGCATACCCTGTCGTAAATTTACAATGCTTAACCTTTGTTTGATAGAATTGCTATTATATATAAAGCTGTCATGTGTGCTGCCTGGCCAACGTGCAACCAAATCAAAAAATTCTAAATTAGGTCCTGTTACTGCCTGTACATTGATTGGAAAAAAACGCTTTCTGTGTCTATACACTTCAGAAGACATTCCACCAGGACTTCTTATTTTAATATGTGTACAGTCAATGCATCCTATCACTCCAGGAAATTGTGCCACTTCAAAAAACTTTTGTCTGCAAGAAATATTCAGAAGTTTAGTATGTTACTATTAAAAGTATGTTGAATGTAGAATATGTATAATATTTATTAATGTCTATTAGCATGTTTATGTTATGAACATACTTTACAAACATTTTCATTTGTAGTGCTATTGAATTAGACACAGTAGTTATAATTCTTGATACTGACTGTTGGCATATATTCATGACATCCCCATCTAGTTTCTGAAAAAATATGAAACCAGGTAAGTACCTACTTGCATAAATGATAGATTTATTTAATTCAGTCACAGTATCCTGTGTACCTTGCTATAACATCACTTTACAGTGAGGTTTGCAGATATTGTGATCGGGTTGTGCAGCAATAATTTATAAGAGGTACCTAATATTAAAGGTCACACAGTATTTTACTTACTTGAAAACTCCCAGTAGCATAGTATCTCAACGTAACGAGAATCATTATTTCTGGAGCAAACGGCAGACCTTTGCTGCTAGGTTTTTTAAATGTGGTTCTAGCATTGGCATTATGGTATTTTTATTGCTTTGGGGGTAAAGCGATATCGTGAGTAAAATTCTTGAACAGTATGTTTCTGAAATGGATCCGAATAATCACGCAAATAACGTCTTGGTCCTGGTTCCCTAAATCTTCTTGCGTATTCCACAAAATAAACAAACTCTTCATAATCTGACATTTTCTCAAAATATCACAATTTGATCACAATAAACAAATCCTAGAAAATGACCACGTAATGACACACATAACATTAATTACGAATTTAAGTAAGGGTTGAGCGTTACTTAAAGTTAACGGTTCCTTAGGCCTACTAACGAACCATTAACTCACTCTGAGAGTCAACTTTTTTAAATCTTTACTTAGTGACGGCTTAAGTAATCATTTAACGTCTCTGAGTGCGGCAGTAAGAGAATGTTGCAAACCGCTATTGAACCGAAACAATAGGGTGGGCGAAAATTTTTTTCTATTTTCTTTTCATAATAGCGATAAAAAGGTGCCTTATGGGTTAGAACTTGTATTTATGAAGTATTTTCAAATTCTGTTTTAGGTAACAGCCTCCGCATTGACTTTCAAATTTTGGAAAAATATGATTTAAGACGTGTTATCGCGACCCAGTAAAAAAACGTTCTAATTGAAGTTTTACCAAGTTTAAAGTGTTTTTCAATAGGAAATATAATCAAATTTTATTAGGGTAATACCAAACGTTTCACTAATAATAACCAACGGCGTGAGGTGAGGGGGCGGGGAGCGCAGTTTGCATTTGGCGCGTTATTTTTTTCGCATCAGTGGCGCTGCGGCTTTTGAGGTTAGAGGTCGCGTTTTGCTCTGTGACACAATGGAACGTACTCGAAAGTGTTATAAATGTCCACTGCTTGGTGAATTAATATTAAACTTAATATGCTGCCAACATATGAAGATGTCATCAAATACTACGAGTGGACGAGAAGGCAAGTCAAGTTTAATAATAATTCCCAGAAAGAGCCATCATTTTTCTAAATCGCAGAGATAGTGACTAAAAAAATTTAAGAGATTTGGCTGAAAGCGTCGCTACCAACTGTGACACATGTAAGAGTATGTCAAATGCTAAAATCTTATCACATCAAGCACAAAAACCTTCTCAAATCCCACCCCAAAATACCTAAGAAAAATATTGACACGTTTCAGCGCGACAACAAAGCTCTCTTCGACATTTGTTCCTGCAAATGCAAGGACTTGAGCGCTTGCACCTGCTCTAAGGAACGAAAAGTACCTACTGCTGAACGTGATTTTCTGATTGATCAACGCACCTCTAGAAAAATGATAATAGGAAACGTCGACGTTGCTACTACAAATCAACTCAGAAAGACATTAAAAGAAAATTTTCTAAGCAGCAATCCGCACAAAAACAATTGGAACGAGTCGAAGTATCCACAGACCTACAACTTATTTCTTCTTCGTCTTCAACCACCGACAAAACCGATTGTGATGACTTCTTAGTGTTCGAGGAGCCCGGTACGTCTCAGCAAGAGAAGACATACCAGGATATGGATTTTTCTGCGCTTTCGAAGACATGTGACAGGTTTGGAATATCCAAAAGGGCAGGAGCTGCTATTGCTTTAGTAGTTTTGAAAACTACAGACACGGCTGGCCCAGTAATTGACATAAAATTGCGCCAGGAGAGAAGAAAAACACGAAAAACCATAATATGCAAAGACAAACCCCAACAAATACCCGCATTATATTTCGATGGTCGAAAAGATAAAGCTCTCATAATGACAAGAAAAGGAGAGAAATATTACAGAAGGACGATACGGGAGGAGCATATTTCACTTAGTAAGGAACCAGGCTCTATTTACTTGGGTCACCTTACACCAAGCTCGGGAACTTCTAAAGATATAGTAAAGGCAATTACGGACTACTTTTTAAATGAAAACATATCTATGGGTGATTTACTGGCTATTGGATGCGATGGGACAAATGTAAACGTTGGAAACTATGGAGGTGTCATACGTTTAATAGAAAAACAATTAAAAAAGCCTCTGCAATGGATTGTTTGCTTGCCACATATGAACGAACTGCCACTGCGGCATTTATTCGAGCATATTGATGGCGCTACAACGGGACCGAATACTTTTGCGGGGAAAATCGGAAAACAGTTAGAAAACTGTGAAAAGAAACCCGTTGTCAAGGCAATACCGTCGGAGTTACCACAATTGAAAGCCCAAGATCTCAGCACAGACCAGTCTTACCTGTACAGTATTACGTCTGCTGTCTCGACCGGCGTGCTTCCCGAAGATTTAGCAAACAAGTCACCTGGAAAGATGTCCCATGCTATGTAGTAGGTGGCTTACCCGGGCTAATCGGATTCTGCGGCTCTATATTTCGACAAAATCCCCGCCTAAAGAGTTGGTGATCTTAGCAACTTACGTTGTTAAGGTTTACGCTCCGACTTGGTTCTCTATCAAGACTCACCCCAGCTGTAAGGATGGAGCGCGACATCTGTATAAGCTCATTTCTGCTTCTAGATACCTCACAGCAGAACTAAAAGCTGTAATAGATCCAGTAATTATACGGAATGGATATTTCGCTCATCCAGAGAACTTATTGCTGGCAATGTTGACAGACTCGCAACAACATATTCGAGAGTTAGCCGCACGTCGTATCCTGAAAGCCCCTACCGTTCCTCAAACAAAATTAAGACTTTTCAAAGTTCCTGCCCTTAAATTAGATGCATCATTTTACGTCGACAAGATATGACAAGTAGTCGTGGAACCAACACAGAAATACCTTCAAATAATTTTATGGCGTAATAATGAAGCCGAGCGCATGAGGTACTTGGCGCTTAATACCCTGACGTACGGTACGTCATCGGCAAGCTACCTCAGCACTAGGTGTCTCGCTCAATTAGGTCATGAAGGCACTGATCCTTTGGTGAAAGAAGTAATATTACATGATTTTTACATAGACGACTTAATAACAGGTTTAAATGATGAGAAAAAATTAATAAATTTACACCAAAGGATCGACGAGACTTTGAGTTCTGCTCATTTTAATTTAAGAAAATTAAAAAGCAACTCAAAAGAGTTTCTCCACAGTGTAGCGGAAGAAAGCAATTGTCAGCAAGATAATTTGAAAATATCCAATCAAAGTAACACTTTAGGTGTTGAATGGAATCCTAATGAGGATAACATTTTAATCAAATGTTCGAAATTGCAGTTGATAGATAACCATGTTAAGTACACTAAAAGGGCTGTCCTATCTGTAGTGTCAAGTATTTTTGATCCTTTAGGGCTGTTGAGTGTATGTGTTATTTTATGTAAAATCTTCTTGCAATCACTCTGGTCACAGAAATTGGACTGGGACGAGGAAATTCCCCAGGCGCCTGACTGTATCTGGACTAGGTTTATAAATAACATAGGTTATTTAAAGGAAATAAGTATTCCGCGTCATGCAAGTTGTAAGAATGCGGTAACAACCGAAATCCATGCATTTTCGGATGCCTCGTTAAAGGCATATGCTGGATGTGTTTATTTGCGATCAATGGATGAGTTAGGTAATTACACAGTACGACTTTTATGCGCTAAGTCGAAGGGCGCACCTTTAAAGGCCACGACCATTCCCCGTCTGGAGCTTTGTGGAGCCTTATTAGTTTCACACTTATGTGAAAAGGCTGTACAAGCTTTACGATGCAATATTAAGAATAGGTACTTTTGGTCAGACAGTAAAATACAGAGTGCTTCAAAAAAATGTATACACACTTTAAACTATTGTAGTTTTTCCGCTCTACAAGCCTAATGTTATATTTCTTCGCCAGGTGCCAGCATAATAGTCCCTCTATGTTATATTATCAGTTGGAATTTGTATACAACATGGGGGACGTACATTTGAGTTTTGAAGAACGTAAGCAGGTTATCAAGTGGTACTGGAAGTTTGAGAATGTAAATGAAGTTCAAAGACAGTGGATTTATGGGTAGCATCATTTGGTCGGATGAAGCCCAATTCAAACTTAATGGAATTGTCAATAGGCACAATTGTGTTTACTGGGGTGAAGAAAATCCTCACATTACAATTGAAAAAGCTGTAAATTTGCCTGGTATAAATGTGTGGTGCGGTTTGTCTTCAAGGGGACTCATTGGACCTTTTCGATTTGAAGGCACTGTAACTGGTATTAATTACCTAACAATGCTTGCTGATTCCGTATTTCCTGCCATTTGTGCATTATACGGTAATGATGATTTTTATTTTCAACAAGATGGTGCTCCGCCGCACTATCACAGGGACGTACGAGCTTGTGCGAGCGAGTGGATAGGACGCAGGGGGCCAATCGAGTTTCCAGCACGCTCTCAAGACCATACACCACTGGATTTCTTCTTGTGGGGCACAGTAAAAGATGAGGTGTACAAACGTAAACCACGTAACCTAGACATTCTTTGGAATGAGATTCAAGCAGTGTGTAGAGAAATCTCATTGGACGTTTTGATACGATGTACAGAATCTGTGGTGACTCGTACTCAGAATTGTATTGATGCTGCAGGTCACCAATTTGAACAGTATTAACATTTGTTATTTATGTTTCATTTACATTGGACTTTCAGCTTTCTATTTTCCTGAAATTTAACTTTGTAGAACGGTAAATAAATTTTCTAAGGAAGTCCAAAGTGTGTATACATTTTTTTGAAGCACCCGGTAGTATTGGGATGGCTGTGCATTCCGACAAACAAGTTATGCACGTTTGTATCGCACCGAGTCTCGGAGATTAATGACAAATGTTCAAACGCTATGTGGATGTATGTCCCGTCAGCGCAGAACCCAGCCGACCTGGCTTCGCGCGGAGTATACCCGGACGAAGTACAGTCGTTGTCACTGTGGTGGGAGGCATTCCTGCAGGATAACGAAAGCCAATGGCCTGAACAGAGCGGCGCGGTACAAGCGAGCTTACCTGAGTTGCGTGCACACACTGTAAGCATCGATAAATCGATATCGCCAATAATCGACATGTCAAGGTATTCTAGTTTTCTTAAATTACGTCGCACATTTGCATATGTGTGTCGTTTTATCAATGTATTGGTGCATAAGCAAAGGTATGAGTCGAGTTTGCTAACAGTGGACGAGCTTGAACTGCTGGCTGAGTCCAAGCTGGCTTATTTATCACAATGTGAAAGCTTTGCTGATTTTAAGAGCAACCCAAGTTCTATACCTGGTTCAAGTAAATTAAATCCTTACCAAGACGAGTCAGGATTAATACGTGTAGGTGGTCGATTAGATAACTCGAAATTTGTGTACGACAAAAAGCATCCTATAATTCTGGATACAAAGCATCATTATACTAAATTGATATTTAGGTATTTTCATTTTAAGTTGATGCATGCACCACCGCAGCTTCTTCTTTCAGCTATTCGTGAACATTATTGGCCTTTGAATGGCAGAGTACTGGCGAGACGTACTTATGGTGATTGTACACGCTGTAAGAGGATGAAAGGAGAAGTTGCGCAACAAATAATGGGCAATTTACCAGCGCAACGGGTCACACCTGGATATGTTTTTGAGATCGTGGGAACTGATTTCGCAGGTCTTTTTTTACACAGTTGACAGGGAAGGTCGCGGCGCAAGACTGTCAAAGAGTTACCTGTGTGTCATAATAGATTTTAAGGTTAAGGCCGTACATCTTGAGGCTGTCAGTTCTTTGAGTACTGAAGATTTTATTTTAGCATTGCGTCGCTTTATGGCTCGTACAGGGCCCCCTCTAGAGATATTTTGCGACAATGGGAAAAATTTTGTTGGCGCTAACCGCGAGTTAGGTGAGTTTCTCACTGCCGCTTCTAACTCTGTGTCAGCGTCATTTGTAGAAGATAAGATTAAGTTTAATTTTGCACCCGCGTATGCTCCAAACTTTGGAGGCTTATATGTAGCAGCTGTCCGGTCTGCAAAATACCACATGAAAAGGGTGATAGGTAATACGCATTTAACCTTTGAGGAGCTAGCAACCCTGTTCGCACAGATTGAGGCTATACTTAATTCTAGGCCCCTATGTCCTATGTCCTCATCTCCGCACGACCTAGTTCCCCTCACCCCCGGGCATTTCCTCATAGGAAGACCGCTCATTTCATTACCGGCACCAGACCTGCAAGAAGTGAACCCTAAACGGCTTCAAAGATATGCGAAAATCCAGCAGGCAAGGCAACATTTTTGGTCAAGATGGAGCCAGGAATATATCTGCGAGTTGCAGCAGCGCACCCGTTGGCAGCGACGCCGCCCCGACATTCAACCTGGTCAGATAGTTCTGATAAAGGACGAGGCGACACCACCGCTCAAGTGGCCACTAGGACGGATTCAAGCAGTGCATCCTGGCACCGATGGCGCATGTCGAGTTGCGGACATACTTACAACGAAGGGCACGATTCGTCGAGCAATCAACCGAATCTGTCCATTCCTGGATGATGATGAAGCTTAAAGCCAGGAGCTTTAATAGGCGGGAAGATGTTGGCGCAACCAACAAACCTTTTATCGTACCGGGCCCACAGTGACGTCACGCATACATACGTCACACACATGCCACCACCCCGTTCGGGCCTCAGACTGCACCGTACAACCGTAGCGGCAACACACGTTTCTTATATCTTTATTTGTCATATACGACATTGTAAATATAGTTATTAAATCAAGTTATTAGTACTATCCTGGTCTTCTTCATTGACGATCCTGCGATCCTGGTCTGGAGAGAGCTTACCTGAGGAGTACACCCAACAGGGTCAAATAATTTTTGCATGCACACTGTTTCAAACTGTAAATCTATACTATGAAGCAAGAAATAAAAAGCTTTTTTATTTTATTATTTTATTTAATAAAATCACAAACTCCTAAATTAGTTCAAAAAATTTATATTTTAAGAACAGAAGGATTTGCGTGACTTATAATTTAGTTAAGTCTAATAAATACGTTTGTTTCAGGTAAACCCTACAATGATCTACAATTATAAGCATGTTGATAAGTTTTTATCAAAGATGGACTTGATCGAAATGATACGCGCACATTTGAAATGGCCCTGGTCATTTACTCATTTTATCTTTTGTTCTTGTTGTTATGGATGTGGTTCCCAGATATTCCGAAATAGACCGTTACATTTTGTTTTAAAAGACAAAAATGTAAAAAAAATATTACGTTACGGTTTATTTTGGTGCCCCTATTGTAAATATTTTGCTATCTATAATCATTTTCCAGAAGACGAATGCGAATATTGTAATTAGTCAGTTGATCATACCTACCTACATTTAAATATATTGTAAGAATTTTGGAAACACGCTTCAACATATATATATATATATATATATATATTTTACTACTATTGGTACAAGAGTCAAAAAAATCTTTACAGTTGTAATTATTTTTGCGTCTCTCACACAATTAACACTAAAAAACAAAATTTAGCTTTTTCATAACTTTTATTTATTCTGTTAGAAAATGTACAATTGTAACTTGTTAAAAGTTAAAAGCATAATTTATCGATTCCACGCGTACGCTGACTTATACTTTTTTCTTAGGAAAATATCAGAGTCGTGGAGTTAATTGATCAAAATGCCAGTTTTGATATTCCGCCACATTCATCTCAAGTTGAGGTTATGGAATTACCATATGATCAAGCCACTGAGACCACAGCAATCCCAGGGATTAGTGCAGAAAAACTGGATAGTATAGCGCAAAAGCTCGACCAATTAATAAGCGTTGCATCAGCGAATGAAGTAAATATAAAAGTACTTTATGATAATCATCAAAATATTTTACAAAAACTTGCATTATTAAACACCAAATTAAAAGAATTGGTGACACGTATTTCGGTAACAGTAACTGACGTTAACCAGCAGGGCAATAATGACTATAATTTCAAAATTATAAGCAACCTACAGGAACTCACTACTTTCGAGGAACGTTTAAGTAATCCTCAAGCTGAAGAAGATATTATAAAGTTACTTCCTGGAACTTGTACGAAAAGCAAAGGTCGCACATATAATAACGCTTACGTATTAGTCAGTGCCATGTTCACTCGGTAATTTATGACACAATGTTCTTGGGTAAGAGGTACCAGAGGGGAACCAAAAATATGTTTTAAGTCTTATACTAAAACTATATTATTATTTTTTTAAATAATACGCCAATCTGAAAATAACTTCACAATACCTGAGTGTGAATCATTTTTAAAAAATGTTATGAGACATGCTGTTAAAAGGAATTAAGCCAAACTGCTGAGGGCTTCTGCTCACAAGAATAGACCAAAAAAAGCGAAAGTGTTGAAGAAAATAATCGCCAGTCAGTTGAAGAGAAGTGGCAGAATTCTGAAAATGCACCACATCAAAAAGAAAATGTCTCACAACTTTATTTGACCAGCTAGATTGGGATGCAGTTCCTATGATGGAAAGATATGATGACGCGTATCAGGACGGTCATGATAGATAAAACATCTTCTCATTCTTTCGAATATGTAAATGAATCAGTGACTATTTGATTATTTACGTTGTTCGATAATTTAATATTGTTTCTTGTTTTTCTGTATTTCTTTATGTTAGTTTTGTAATCTTTCACTTGTGAAATAATTAGATAATAACTTCTAGTTAGCGGAATCCTTCCATTTCTTAATTATAGAGTTAATTAGCAGGTAAAGATATTACAAATATGAATTTTATGTATTGTTATGTTGCGATTTTGTAAGTTCTATTTGTGATATTTTATTTTTTTTTAATTTTTAATAGCAAAATAATAAATAATAAACAATTTTTACTGCCTTCTTTATTACCTATTTCTTAAATGTATGAATAAGCGGAGCAAAAAATATATTTGAGTTGTATGTAACGCTAACCAACTTACACTTTATATCAGTAATATAATATATGGCTTCAGTTTGCAAAATTTCATTCTCATATATAATAAATATATTGAGATATGAAGATTTAATAGGCGTTTCAAAAACATCATTCCTTAAGTTTTTAATTCGATTTCCAATTATCTGCATACATCCCGTAGTAGTATATACTTCACTTTTAGTGCCAAAATTACTACTAATTTGAATTCTACACTTTTGTTTTTGGAGAAATTTATATGAAAATGTTTGGAAATATATATATTTTTATGTAGTTATGCATCCCAGTATTCACGGAACTGCACCGGAGACCATAACAATTCAAGCGTAAGCGTGGGCGTAGATTGCTGAATTGCGTCTGGAAGACGGGTGGTCTTTCCTGTGAATACTGATAACTGTTCTTTAGCTTAAAGATCTAGAATAAGAATTAGGATAATCTTAGTTTGGCTCGCACATGTATCGCACATGTAGCCTTAGGTTAGAATCCATCGCGGATTAATTAAGTAGTATATAAGTAATGTATCGCACATTAATAGTTATAAGTTTATTAATAAAGTCTTTATAAAAACGTCCTGAGTCAATTTCGAATCTTGACTGGCGCAGCCGGTAGGATTTCGCGTGTAAAGCTTGCTCATATAAGAAGACTCCCAAATCAGTCGTCGTGAAGCAGTTTACGGTGCTGTCTTGCACTTTCGCGAAATCTACGAACTGAAATAAATTTGTCGAATTCGAAACAGGACATCAAGAAAGAAGACTTCCTAGCCTAGGCGAAAGGATGAGTTCGAGTGTACTGTGAGTAAACCTTTTCACGTCCATCTCTGTTCCCATCTATTTTTGCTTGCTCGAATTATAGTGTTATTTGATTTTTCTTAAATCAAACAAATTAAATTGCACAAGCATAGGCAATTTAGTATATATCATTAAGTTTAATAGTTAAGTATTGAAAATTAATTTAAAATAAAGAAAATCTATTAAATTGTGTTATAAAGAATAAAAATTACATAATTAAAGAAATTAAAGGATATATTAAAAAAATAAAAGGATATATAAAAGAAATAAAAGTGATAATTATATAAATTGCTATATTAATATTAAATAAAATGGAACAATTACGTGTAATAGCTAAGGACTTAACTTTGCTTTATCTTCCCCATAGACAGAATATGTCATATTATGTAAGTATAGGTATAGTGTATGTACTACAAATCGCCATTTATAGAATTGATATTAATACAGTATGTCTGTGTTAACTGTGTTCGTTAGCACTACTCTTTAACCCACTGCCTAATTACTATTAGTCTATAAGTTGTAGTTACGCGTAATTTGAGGTTCACACACCGACTCGTCAGTGAAGTCACAAGGTGCCAACTGAAAACCAGCACTGCCTCTGCAGCATTATGCTGAGTTGGAGACCTATTTGATGTGACATTTTTATCTTAGAATTCTTTTTTTTTTAATTTTTTTTTATTTCATTATTAATTAATATCATGCATGTTCTGCTTATTAAATAATTTTTAATGCGTAAGCAGTCTTATACCTCTGCATGCATATTCTTTGTCCATTGTAATTTATATTTAAATTTCAAAAATTGTGTGTAAAGTGTGATTATCAAATAAATGGTTCTTTCTTTCTTTCTTTCTTTCTAAGGATTTACTTTGTCTTATACCTAAGTTTGAAGGAGAGGAAAGATTATTAAATTTATTTATTAGGAAAGCTCAGTACATATACAGGTCTTTCGAAGACCCTAATAATGCCACTCAAACATTATATGTATTCCATGCGATAAGCAGCCGATTAACAGGTAGCTGCCCTACCACTTTTTATTATAGTATTGCCCTACATTTGTTAAGTAAGCGTGATGATATTATTTGTTGGAATACGCTTAAAGATATTTTAATTCAACATTTTGGCGATCCGCGTTCGGAAGATTGCATAGCTATCGAATTAGAACAAATGAAAATTAAGTCTGGTGAATCATTTATCGATTTTTGTCATAGAATACAACATATGCGTAATACCTTATTCGCCAAAGTCAATCTAATACAGGATGAAGGAGTAAAAGCAGCCAAAATGATAGTGTATAACAATATGTCATTAAATGTATTTCTTTATAATTTACCCGAGGATTTAATTCGTATCGTGCGTCTTAGACAGTGTACTAGTTTAGAATCCGCTTTAAGTGTATATATATAATGCGAAAAATAAAATGAAACAGAATATAACATACCAGAATTTCAAACCCCAACAAAGTGTTAATATTTTACCTAATAATAATTCATCGTATTTCAAATTTGCAAATCCACACGTTGGATCCTAGAATAAATTTCAATTGCCTACTAATAATTTTAAAGGGGGACGCCCATTTTCGGCCATGGAACGCCCAACAATGTGCATTTGTTAAAAAATTATATCTTTATTTATGGTTATTAATCGCGGTATTCATTTATCCTCAAACAATGGGAATATTTTTGCACAAATTAAAAGTACCGAAAGGTTAATAATAAAAATTAGGTAGATCATTATGTCATTAGTTTGTGAATAAAAAAAAATGTTGCCAATCACAAAACACATTTAAAAAATCGATTCTCTTTTTCGATCGATTATTTACGGTGTCATCATTACAGTACTAATATAATTTTTAAATAATTATTATGTTATGATAATTAAACAAGCGAATTACTAGTTGATTTCCAATGAATTCTTTAGAGAGTAACAAAACGCTACGGCACAATTTTACTGTTAATCTTAACCGATCTTCTTTGAAAACAGATAAGAACTGTTATTCTTATCTGTTTTCAAAGAAGATCTGTTAAGTTATTCTTATCTGTTTATAACAATACATTTAAAATAGAATCATGTTATGATAACGAAACAAGTTAGTTTCCAGCTGATTTACCATGAATCCTTTAACCTTTTGAGCGCCAAAGTCGCCTATACTTGACCAACACCTGCGGGCCCTGAGCGCCAACGACGTCTATAGTTGACAAAAAACCCCGGCTCTCAAAAAATGAAATATAGATATTGGAAAATTATTACAGGTATTTTAATTCTACACTCCTCAAAATAGGAATAACCCAGCAACATGTGAGTATAAAAAAACAAGTCTTCTAGAGCCACAAGTACTAAGAAACATTGAACTAATAAAAATTGATTTTTATCTAAGTCCAGCACGCCAAAGTCGTCTATGGTTGACCGCTAATGTCAAACGCGGGAAGAATAGATTTCTTGAAAACTATCCAAAATTCAGCTCAATGGTGTTTTTTTTTTCTATTATTATTATTGATATTTGAATAAAATTAAAGGTTAGAAACATAAAACTATAATTAGCTACATGAATGTTATCAGATCATCTTCGCATAATAAATCTAATATCTCAACTCTAGCGCATCTTTAGCGCGTTATCGAAAATCAGTTCACTGGGCACCGTGATCAAGGATAAACGACACCCTGATGATGTCATAAGTGATTACCGAGAAAAGTAGAGCAATGCAACATGAACGATTCCTCAGAACTCATTCGGATTTTGGAAAGCGTCGATGATGATGAATTTTGATTTTTGATTGATGAATTGAATTTTTGATTGATTGGTGAACATATTGATTTGTTTATTTATTCCATGACCAAGATTTTAATATTATAAGGCTGATTTACCTAGTGCCAATAATTACATACAATTGTTGATTAATGAATAATTATGTACCTTTTTTAAAAATAATACAAAATTACAATTAATGTTTTTTTTACTTAAAGTGTGAAGAGCAATTTTTCATTTTGTGTTGTGCCATTTTTTTCTCAGTCTCAAAATCATCTAGCAGAATCAGCATCATATCAAATCCCCATTGTTATAAGAGTGTAAGACTTTTGTTCTGTGCTTCACTTGGTCTACGCCTTCCCCGACACATAAAATATTATGAATCGATGTCTGTATATTTCGGTTAGATCGATTTTGAAATCGATACACAACATTCTAAGAATGTTTAAAAAAGGAAGGTCAGCTACGCCGTTGTCGTCCAGTCGTGACAGTGTCGTCATTAGGATGGAGAGTAGTGCTGTGGTTTACTACTATTTTATTGTTATTGTTTGTTTTTTATTTATGTTTATTTGTACAAAGTACATATATAAAAAGAGTGGATGACAGCACAAGATTAAATAAAACATACAGTTTATAAAGAGTCGTTTATAGCATAAAAAACCAACAAAAACAAGTTATTTTACGTTATCGATATATTAACTCTTGGCCACACTATTTTGTTTTGGCGCTTTGGCGTACAGGACACGGTAATGCGTTTTTAGCGTGGCGCTCAAAAGGTTAAAGCTTAACAAAACGCTCTATATTTCGACAAAATCCCCGCCTAAAGAGTTGGTGATCTTAGCAACTTACGTTGTTAAGGTTTACGCTCCGACTTGGTTCTCTATCAAGACTCACCCCAGCTGTAAGGATGGAGCGCGACATCTGTATAAGCTCATTTCTGCTTCTAGATACCTCACAGCAGAACTAAAAGCTGTAATAGATCCAGTAATTATACGGAATGGATATTTCGCTCATCCAGAGAACTTATTACTGGCAATGTTGACAGACTCGCAACAACATATTCGAGAGTTAGCCGCACGTCGTATCCTGAAAGCCCGTACCGTTCCTCAAACAAAATTAAGATTTCCTGCCCTTAAATTAGATGCATCATTTTACGTCGAACTGATTGACTGGCAGAATAACATTACCCAGCCCCCCATTCTCGAGAGTTTGAATGACGAAGACCTGCAGTTATTCATTTCACAGAGAGGTGAAGGTGAACTGCCTCTTCTACGCCTGCCATGTCATACGCAAGCCGTGGAACGATCAGTCAAGACAGTAACCCAAGCAGCAAATACATTATGTAGCAAAACTGCAAGAGAAGGCTTTATTAGAGCACAAATAGAGTCTCGCAAAAATATGCCAAAATTCGAGAGCAAACAACATTTTAGGTTTAACTAAAAAAATAAGTAAATGTGTATTTTACTTTTTTACGCATTTCTTTGTGATAATAAACAAATATGTTCCTAAAGCGTGTGTTTTCAATTAAAAAAATATTTTTTAACATAATTTACATTGTATTTAGTACTTAGCTTAAAGTCAAATTTTCTTAATTTTACTTAATTTCAAAATCAATCCGGAGGCTAAAGATGATATCCAATCATTCAGATTTTTTTGCATGTGCAATAAGTACATAATAAGGCACCTTTTTGTGCTATAACGTAAAAAGAAAAGAACTTTTTTTTTCTTCATACATTGGTGGCCCACCCTAACAAACAATCAATAAACAATTTACAAACTAACATTTTTTTATTTATTTAGTTAACCTATATAAAAACCCCACTCACATCAAAATCGCGCTGTCGAAAAGCAGTTATCCTGACACTTGAAGGCATTTACTTCGGGGAGTTGCCTGTGGACTATTATAGCTAACTAGCTATGGTAAGTAAATACCTATTTAGAATACATAGTACCTACAGTAATATATGCATAACCTACAATAAAATACAAAAACATAAAGAAAACATAATTATGTTACACTTTTTTGTATTTGTTTTAGAAATGGTTATATTTTTTTTTCAAAAAAAGTTTTTTATATTACCATTTTTAGTTGAGAGTTATGTCCCTTTAGTGGGTACAGGCGTGATATTGTATTGTGTGATTGAGTAAGAATGCATAGATACGCGATAGCAGCAATCGCGGTTGATTTGCTGTCATTTATTGAAGATTGCCCCCGATTTCTGCAAGATCCCATCATCAGATCCTGACCTGACCATTATTGATTACCGTGGGATTATCTGGAAAATATATCCTTTCAAACAAAAAATAAATTTCCAAATCGGTTCAGGCATCTTCGAGAAATCGGGGGACAGAACATACATAAAAATCACCTCCTTTTTTCGAAGTCGGTTAAAAAGTAGTTAAAAATAAATCAATGAAATTATTATATAATAACAACATCTACTTAAGTTCACATAAGGTTCATAATAATTACGTTTCACACAGCAGATCCTAAGTTACAATAACACCAATTTGCTTTCTCTCTCCTTTCTCTTTTTAAAATACGTTACCCCCACAGTAGGATTTTCTCCAGTATCGTGGAGGCAGTTTACAAACATAAATTGCACAAGCACAAACATCCAGACCCGGAACAACTATTTGTAGTCCATACAAATATTTGTTCCGTGCGGGATTCGAACCCGCGGCCCCCAGCGCAGCTACTCATTGTTAAGCCACTGCGGCACGGAGCTCACAAATTCCGTTTGAGTTTATGTTATTATTCTAAAATGAATCGCATAGGTGGTAGGTACGCGATGACGCCGTCGCGCATTGCGTCACTTGAGTGCGTATGTGTGTGCGCACTAGCTTCTTACTGCTCATCACAGCGCCCACCACTTAGTTCGTGCCATCGACTAGAGGCACCTTAATTGAAAATATGCCTTTTCTTCTGTGAGACGTGGTAGCTCAGAGTGAGCCGTGGTAGCTCAGATGGTTAGCGCTCGCTGTAAATTTCACAGTACGCGAGCAAACCGGTTTCAATTCCTGCCGGCACCAATGAAATTGTTAATTGCAATTTTAAGTGCTGATTTACCACGTGCTCGGTGGTGAAGGAAAACATCGTGAGGAAACCTGAATGTCAGAGAAATAAGAAAAAAATATATATTTCGAAGACATGTGAAGTTCGCCAACACGCATTGGGGCAACGCGGCGGACAATTCCTTGCCCTAAAACCCTCTTAGAAATGAGCGGAGGCCTGTGCCCAGCAGTGGAACGTATATAAGCTGTAACTTTACTTTACTTTACTGCCTTTTCTATTTCTGAATTCTTCTCCGTATTTGAATCTGTAAAGATTATGATTCCGTTATTAGGCATAATCTATATAAATGAATGAATCTATACTTACTGATACTATAATAAAGAATTGTATGTATGTTTGTAGGTTTGTGATCTAATTCTGGCCATACTTGGATTAAGTTCTAGGATTGAGTTTCAAATCACTAGATGACCTGCGACAAAGCTTCTTGTTCTGCCTAGATCTACTTAATATAAATATTTATTTATTTGGTAATACTAACGAGGTGACTGCATGGGAATATGTGTGCAGTCAATTGCGCCAAGAATTCTTGGAAATCCTGCGATTTCATAAAAGGCATTTTGGGTATTGCTTAATATCTTCACATATTGAGGGTATAATTCAGCTATAGCCCGAGACACATGATGCACAATTCGGCTGGCTGACGCTTTCGATACACCAATAAAGTATGATACTGATAAAAGCATTGTTCCCAGTGCGTAAAATCTCAAGGTGGTATTCCCTTATTCCTAAAATGTTTAAATAATTTTCATTCATGTTTATTGTCAAAATTAATGTTTGATAGTATATTTCGACCATAAGTACATATCGTCACCTTAGAGTGTAAACCTGCTAAATCCATTTTCTATCACATTCGACATTTTGATACAGTTCGAAAGAAAAAAAGACGCTGCATCGGCCAAGTAAAACAACTATATCAAATTATGACCGAAACTGTCGGAAAATCTGCTATGAGTAAAACTGCTAAATCCAAACAATACAAATTTCGCGGCTAACTCCAACGTCGCCGCCATTTTGTATAGTGTCTGTCGCCATCTCACTGTTCTACTACAAAAATATTTCGTTTGGATGTGTATACTGTGTTGTTGCAATATTTTATAGTAGTTATTGTGTAAAGATAATACTTATCATCCCAATTTAGTTTTATTTCTTTTGGAATTTATTGACAACTAAGTAAAACGTTATCGTTTTTAAATTCATAACATTAGACGTTCGTTATTATGGAGTTAGCAGGTTTTTTTTTTTTATAAAGACTGAACCATTTTAAGACTTAGCTGGTAATTTTCGTGTTGTTGGAACATTAATTTTAGTGATAGTTATTGTGGAAAGTTAATACCTATTAACTTAATTTAGTTTTATATGTCTTGTGGGATTTATGGAAACTAAGTAAAATTATCGTTATAAAATTCATAACATTAGACGTTTTGTTGTTATGGGAGTTAGCAAGTTTTTTTTTCAAACAGGTTAGAACAATTTTGCGACTGAGCAGGTAACTTGTATAATCTACTTTAAATGTTTTCAGTGACTTTTATTACAATTTATTAGCAAAATTGTTATTTAAAAAATATTGACCACTGCTTGTTACAGATGTCTTCCTATCAGCTTTGGCGAGCTAAAAAGATTATTAACTTACTCAACGAAAATAACGCAGAAAATACATGTCAAAATTTATCACCTGAGCAATCTCCTAACAATGAATTATTATTATCAGAGGTTGAAAATGTAGAATTTGAATATCTTAATATTGGCTTATCTGACACACTAGAATTACCTACCTTACCTGAAAATTGTCAAATTGTACCTATAACTAAAGCAACAGAGGAACCCATTGTTATTGAAATGACTGAACCTACCTTACTTGAGTAGCATCACCCCGTCCACATCTGTTACTAGCCATAATAATATAGACAAAGAAATCAATAATGACAGAGTTTCGATTTCTCCGAACCTGTCATTTGCTGAGAGTAACGTTTAAGACTTAAGTCATGAAATTGGCAGTCAAAATATGGATTTACGTGAAACCTATGTTCAAGATGGTGCGAATAATATAGAAGATGGAAGCGACCACGAAGGCTTAGTTCCTTATGATATTCATTCTGACTCTATGTCTGATAGCGATTATCCAGATAAAAGTAAAAAAAGAAAGAAAAGAGCACAAATACAAAAGTCTAATTGGTTTGCAGAAAAAAATAGAAAGTTAAGAGAATCTGGAAAAAATATTATGGCAGAAAAAAGGAAGAAACATGGAATTATGAAATTCCGAAAGAACCACGAATAATAAAACAAAGGTGTAAATGTAAACAAACTGAACATGGGACTATTAAGTGTTCAAGTTTTACAGAGGAAGACAGGAAAGAAATATTTAACCTCAACTGCGGATGTCCAAGACTTGGACAGGAAAATATCTCCGTTGACTGCGGGCGTCCAAGTGTTAGACATTTTTTACCCGCTCTTTTAATGAAGAAACAAAGCATTATGCGCCATTTCTAACTCATTCTACCATATGTCATTGTGTACAGGATAACAAAGGCTAGCATAAAAACCCCACAGCTTGTACACTTTAGTGGTATATTTTATTTAAATCATTCTTAAATGTCGTCCGTTCCTTGAGTCAGCCATTAGTGTGATTGAAGCGCGCTAACAACGAAGTTGTTTGTAATTATTTTGTATTGATTTATATTTATTGTGTGGTGAATTGTGTTAAAACAATGCCTGGGTAAGTAACCTTCTTATTTGTAATCTCATTTTGTGTTTTATCTTATTAAGTACGTGTAAAATCGTTTTTTAATATGTATGAAGCAAACTGCTATCTTAGAACTAACATGCTGGTTGAGGAAAGTTGATTTGAAATTTACGTAAAATTTTAGTGTTGACTGTCAGTTTTGTGTCAAAATATGTGTAATTGTTCATCGTTCACAGTTTTAGTACATCAAAATGAGGATAAAGTGCAATATCTTCAAAATTTTAATGTAAATACGCAATAGGTGCAATAGTGTCCATTTTTGACGCGTCCGCAGTAGTGAATTTTAGTTCTCTGTTTTGCGGGTGGCGAAAAAAGGAACTAAAGTTTGCCATACTGCATCAAGTTCAAATTCGGTAGAATGGTAAAGAATCTAGCGCCCTCGAGCAGAGAAATGGAGCTTGGTTGACTCCACGATTATTCGATGATTTATGAAAAATTGAATGTGGCATTTGGATATGTCATGTATGTTAACACAAGACTTCGGAATTTTTTAAACAATTTATTAAATCGGAAAATTAGAAAGTATTTACATAATATGATTTTTAATATTTTTATTTTAATATTTAATATTTGAAATTTTTATTTTTTAAATTTAATATGAACAGGTTGTGGTTTTTAAGGTCACCTCAGACACATATTTCTTTTATTGGTTTTTTTAATGTACATTTTATCTGTATGTACTTTGCAAATCGTGTAACAGAGCAAGATTGCTGCTACCTACAGTACAATTCGTAAATGAACTGTACTCCAGATACAGTAAATCCAACAAGTACCAGGAGCCTTTTAAAGAAATGAGTACATATGTTCTATATTTATTCAATTTTATACTTATGTCCATCCATCCATTTAGTTTTTATTGTTGCCTAGCTATGATTTGTTCAGCTAATTATTTAAGACTATCATCGTCAAAATTGTTAAGTTAGTTAAGTTACACAGCCTATTTCCGTCCCACTGCTGGGCCTTCCCTCACTTCTGAAAGGGTTTTAGGGCAAAGAAGTGTCCGCCACGCTGCCCATATGCGTGTTGGCGAACTGCACATACCTTGGAAATATTTTTTTTATTTCTCAGACAGATTTCCTCATGATGTTTTCCTTCATCACCGAGCAAGAGGTAAATCAGCACTTAAAATTCCAATTAAGAATTTCATTGATGCCAGCGGAGATCGAACCCGGTGTACTAGCGTACTGTGAAATTTAACGCGAGAGCTAATAATCTGAGCTACCAGTACCCCTAGCACGAACATTTTGATCTATCGTATAGTTTACGCCACAGTTTAGTTTCAGTTAAATTTTGTATGGGAATTTGAACAGCGCTCCGTGGGCGTATTTGGAACTAAAATTCAGAAGCACGAACATCTAACGCTACGTTACGTATCGCTTTCGTATAGTTTAACGTATAGTAAGACACAAAATGTATGGGAATCGGTAGCACGAATCTTTTTTTGACGTACGTTATCATCTATACACTGTAGAGATCTACGATATCTTTCTCACCGTCATTTTTACGGTGAGAACGCTATCGAGAAGTATTAGTTTTAAGTTTTCCTGGGGTTTTCGTTGATTTAAGTTTAAAATATTTTTATTAACAACAAGTAGAATGCGATCTATGACTTTTTATTATTTTGTGTGGCATTTGGCAGTCGAGGCAAGAAAGCAAAGATGAGAATTAAGGTACGCAAAATTTACTATTTAAAGTATTACTAATTGGTATATTACATATATATGTACCCTTATTTTAACTATTTATTTGATTAATAATCATTAGATTTTGATAGTTGTTTCAATTAAATATATCTAAATCGTTCCAGTGATATACCTCAACGAATTTTTATTCGACCCTCCGGATAATTCTGAATTGGAATTTAAAAAAAAGATACAGATTAAGTAAAAATGCACTTAAATTACTCTGCCGTTAATTTTGCTCTGAAAACTTCAGAGAGTGTAAAACGATAAGCTTATAGCTTAAGGTATAAAAAATAATGTACAAAATTAAAGGATCTGCTGTAGTTACTCAGTTTTTTTATTTTCATTTATGTTTCAGGTTATTTATGCTTTATTATTTTATGCAACAAGCTATTATCAACGTTTAGTCGGTATGGGTAATAACTTGAACCAAAAAAGTGTTATGCAATGTGTCTCTCAAGTTACGGAGGCACTTTACAGTCAATAAATAATAACCAATACCTTTATCAGGTTGCCCACTTCAAGGGCTGAGAGAGACGTCGTCAATGTAAAGTACTTACATACTTATTTTTAGCTGTGTTGATTTCTCTAGTCTAATTTTTGACGGCTCCGTGGTGTAGTGGCTTAGCAAGGAATTGTAGCGCAGGGGGCCGCGGTTTCGATTCCTGCACGGAAGAAGTATTTGTATGGCCTACAAGTAATTACTGCCTCCACGACCCTGGATAAATCCTACTGTGGCGGTTTTAGTATAACTAGTGTTTTTGTGACTTTCTACAGATTTCTTAAAACATACAAGATAACAGGTGTTATTGGTTGTATTGATGGATCACATTTCCGCATATTATTTCACCACAAATATAATTAGAAAGAATGCAATACGCACCCAATACGTTAATAAATTATGTTACATAAAATGTGAAACATTACTAATGAAAAAAGCTTTTTTGGTATTTTTCTACGAATTTATAATAAACCACCTGATATAATAAAAAATATGAACTTATTTAAATTTAAAAAAGTGCTTAAGTAATGAATATAGACAAATGTTATTATAAAATTGACGAGTTCTTAAATGATAATTTTGACCAATTATATTGACTAATGATATTATTTTGTTACTGTCATCTATTTAATTTTATCAATGTAGCAATTTCATTAATTTTTATTCTATTTTATTTTTATGGCATAATTCTCATAAGAACACATCATTATATTTGTATGTCTTTAAGACAAAACATAGCGTACTAATAATTGTAACGCAAGACTTTAAATGTTTAAACCTACCTATGTTTAACAAATAAACTATTCCTGAAAAAAGAGATTGAACATTTATTTTATTGCCGAAAGTATTTTCATTATTTAAAGTGCAAGTTGTAAGTTTAACGGTAAAAGAATGTCCACTACCCTATTCGAGATGGGCAGCAGTCTCCTCGCAATATCAATTAAAAAATTAAAAAACTGTGTTTGACAACCCACCTGCCAAGTGTGCCCGCTGTATATTATAATCTATGTAGTCCACTGTCAAGTTCAAAAAATATTAAGCAAATATTAAATTTAAAAATGGTTTTTTTATAGAGTAGGGTGACAAACGAGCACACAGTCCACCTGATGGTAATTTGTTGCTGCGGCCCCTGGACGTCTACATCTATCCTCGATTATAAATCAAAATACAGATGCGTTGTCACCCCTGAGGACTAAGATGTAATGCCTTGTTTCCAGTAAAAAGGGTCTCCGGTTTTCTACACTCACTATACGAAACACAGCAGCATTAAGCTACCATTTCACGCTGGTATTATGTGAGAGCGTGGTCCTTCCCCGGTCTAGCCGACCCATTCGTGCTACAACTATACATCTAATATAACTGCAGCATGGCTATACCACGTATGAATATGATATGTATTAAGAAATTTATGGATGACAATAACCCCTGGGAATGAGATAGTCGCTACTAAACTATTTCCTATGTATTAATATTAAATTCTAATAAAAAAGTACTTCAACAATTTCAAGGAGACATTTTATTTAAAACATGGACAATAAAAAAGTACAGATTATTATAATATATGTTATCACACAGCTCGAAACTGCAGCTCAGTATCATGTTGACGAAGCTCAACGTCTTCTCTGTCGAATCCTCTCTTGTTCTAATTCTACAAACATCCTTTATTTGCTTATTATCGTTCTGTGTTCTTCTCACTTAAAAATAACATTATTCTGATGATCTGAATGTTTTTTTGGGTTGACGGCGCGAAAATGGAAGTGGGTTGCCTATTGAGAACAGTTGGAGATTTCTTCGGTGTAGTAGATTTTAGTGCTGCTGGGATCTGGGAGGTGTTAGGGATGTAGGTTGCGTTAGGAATCTAGGATTGGTTGGAGATAAGTACTGGATCCTTGCTGCAGCCAGGAGTGTTTTTAGTCTTCATCATCTGAAAAAGATCGATTGAAAAACTTAAACTTTTTACATAATTTTTTATATTTCTTTCATAGTTATTTCCTTATTGTATCGTTGAAAATATTTAAAGGTTAAAAGATATAATGAATAACTTGAATTTTAAGTAATTCTTATTATTTATTTAATTTTTTTTAATCTTAATTTCAAATAAACAGTTAACATGCTAACACACAACTAATACTTAAATTATGAAATTATTATTATTAATTTTATTTAAGTAAAATGTAGGTACTTACATCATGTGTAGTTGAAGACATACCAATAGCAGGAATTTCAGGTGGTATAATCATTAAATCTGTATGTAGCTCTGCAGGTATCACTGTTTTATTAATTTTGTATAGGTAACCAGCAACCACATAGGCTGTAAAATAATAAGTTATTAGTCTTACACTGAAGTTATTTATATTCAAATATACATTTTTTTTTCTGAATTATATATTTTCATTGAGAAAGTGTAGTCATTATATTATCATGTTAAAGTGAAAGTTCGTCAGTTGATTTCTACTAAAGTTCTATTTATGTTAAAGCACCCTGTTCTCTTGGTATGTGAGAAATATTTTTAATGAGTGCTATGAGCAGCTTTATTCATTTTTGACCACTTCTTTATTTAAACCAAAGCAAACCAAATAAAACGACAGTGAACTCAAAATTCATGAAATGAACTATGCAATTAATTAAAACTTTATCTAAGCGCTCTTGATTTGTATTGAAGGTTTTAGAACAATAAAAGAACTTACTTTTCGCTACTTTTTTTCACTCCGAGACTTCAATTCCTTGGCTGTGGAGCAAATTACGTAGCTCTTCGTACTTTTGAATACACCACTGTAGTCCGTGCACTAATTCTGTGCTTTCTATTAATCACCATTCCCTAGAAATAAACAATAATCTTTGTTTAACAGAATGAATCAATATCAATAGACAATGAATACACAGACTGAAAAATAATCCAAACTCATGTTTTAATATAGTTACTTACGTTTACATGAAATCTACTATTATTGTAAACTGTGTGGCTAATTCTTGACGACATCATTATTAAAATCAGCAAAAATTAACTAAAACCAATCTAAAATACAAAACTATTAAAACAACACGAAGCGCGAAGTCATATGTTTATCTTAAGAATGTCGCGTTTGGAAATCACAATTCATAAGACGTGAAACATGGTTTTATAAACATAAAAATGTTCCTCCGTAAATAATTATACAAGCAGTATTTTCTTAATTCACTGTTTTAAATTAATTATCACACTATTATTAATAAGTTTCAATACTTTTTCTTATTTTTACACACAGTAAAAGACTCTACAACTACAATAATATCAATTTATAAACGTAATCATTCCTTTTCATTCGTTCGTTTTAATATTGAGTCACAAGGTTTGTTTACATATAGTTACAGTATAGTATCGAGTACACGTGAGTAAGAGATAAGCGTTCGTGCTGCCGACGACTGTAGCCACAGTTTGGTATAAGTTTTCGCTTAGTTGACTCGATACGAATTCTTGACGCAATTGTTTATTATTCGTGCTCGGGGTACAGGGGTCTCTCCTCGTCGAATTGTATACTTAAGTTAGTTAAGTTACAGCCTTTTTACGCCCCACAGCTTGGCAAAGGCATCCCCTTATTTCTTAGAGGGTTTTAGGGCAATGAAGTTTCCGTCGCGCTGCCCCAATGCGTGTTGGCGAACTTCACACGTCCTTGAAATATTTTTTTTCTTATTTCACAGACGTGCCGGTTTCCTCATAATGTCTTTCTTCGCCGCCGAGCACGTGGCAGATCAGCACTTAAAATTGCAATTAACAATTACATTATTGCTAGCGGGGATCGAACCCGGCTTCCTAGCGTACTGTGAAATTTACAGCGAGAGCTAACCATCTGAGATAACACGGCTCTTCTGAGCCACCACGGCTCTCATCGTTGAAATGAATACACCTCTTTATTTTGTGTTTTTTTTCTATAGGATAGGGTGACAAACGAGCACGCAATCCACCTGTCGTGGTTGATGCGGCCCATAGATATCTACATCTAGCTTCGATTACAAATCAAAATGCAGATTCGTGTCACCCATGAGGACTAAGATGGAACGCCTCGTTTCCAGTAAAAAGGCTCTCCGGTTCTCTACACTCACCATACGAAATACAGAAGCATTAAGCTATTATTTCACGCTGGTATTCGGTGAGAGCATGGTCCTTCCCCGGTCGAGCCGGCCTATTCGTGCTACAACTATACTACTAATATAACTGCAGCATGGCTCTACCGCGTATAAACAAGGTTTTAATGAGCTAGTACATGATGCACAAAAAAGTGCAGAATCGAACTTTAATTGTGGCATATTTTTGTATAATGCATAAGAAGTGGGTTCTTTAAAAATATACATAAATAATTTTTTTTTATTTCAGGAAGATATATATTTATTTTAAATTTTATTATTTCGTAGCTATTATTTGTGTTAAAGAAAATATGTTACTTTTTGGAGTAATGTTGTTGGTTATTGGAAATGTAACATAACCGCTGCGCACCTCGCTGCGCCTCTGTCACTTGACTCATATTATGGTGCATTGGGTATTGTTTATAAAAAAACGTTATTTATAACTCTACATCAGCGGGAGTGACCCTTGAGTGGTTTTATGGTTTGAATGAATCTTTATTTCTGTACAAGTGCTGTTAAAGTTTGTTTGCTCGAATAAAGTAATTAATTTTTCAATAAATATGGCACCTACGACTAAAATTTTGATATCGGCATTAGGAGTACTTATGAAATACTTTATGAGATTTCTAAAACTTAGCAAGACCTATTGAAAGATGATTGAATCATGTAAAGAAAAAGAGAGGTTCAAGACTGAATCATTATAATGAAATAAAAAAAACTATTTTTATTGACTAATGCATTACGCCGCATTATGCCGCATCTGGTCATTCTACAGCGGTGTAAGTTGATTGTGGGTTCTTGTAAGCTTATTATTAATGCGTTTTATGATAAAAAATTGTATTGAAGCCTAGGATTTTGCACATAAAATATTGTAATCAATAGATGTAAGATTAAAATAAAATAAAATTGAAGCATTAAAATACTTTGCATCATTGGGAATATGATAGTTTTTTTTTTTTTTGAATAAAATATTAGTAATCTTATTAATTAACATTACTAATATTCCTTTTAACCACTCCTGGTAAGCTTGAAAATGCTTGTGTTAGGAGTGGTTCACGACAGAGGTCAAATGGCGGATTCGAACCCACGACCTTTTGAGTTCGCGATCCGCGCCCTGCCATTAGGCTACTGTCGCTTCAAGTTTTGACTTTATTCAATATTTAGTTATACTAATTACTTTAAAACTTTATTAAATATATGTACTCGTTTATAGGAAATTTCATAGAGAATTCAGAAATGTATACATATTATAGTATTCGATATACCAAAATCAAGATATTTGCGTTTAAGCGGATTGGGCCCAATCAGTCGTCCATTTTATTAAACAGCTCCGCAGTCAACGGACTATTACGGTAAGAGTCTCCGCAGCTGAAAGGATATAGGATGTTGGAGCATGAGTTGGCAAGAGAAAAAAGTTTACATCGATTGTTTTGTAACATCATTGCCAATAAAAAGACCACGAGGAAGGAAAGAAAATAAAGAATCTAGAAGAAGTCAATCTTTAGTATACTATTTAAGAAAACAAGACGAGCAATTCAAAGTTTGCAGGAATATGTTTTTCAACACTCTTGGTATTGGCAGGTGGACTGTGCTTAGTTGGAAAAACAAGCAATTAAATGGCATAAAACTAAATAATGCCACTAGAACTCGACAAAGAAGGAACGACGACGAAACCGAAGTTCCTTCATCTAAGCCTTTTGCCAAAGAACGCCAAGAAATGGACAGTTTTTTCGATTAATTACCTATTATGAAATCACACCACTGTCGCGCCAAAACTCAGAAAAAATATTTGTTACCAGAATGGATAACAAAACAATCTCTTTACAGATTCTACCAAGACGATTGGCGTAAAAGTCGTGATGTGAGGCCTCTATCTATAGCAACTTTTTACGAAGCCTTCGACGCCAAAAATCTAGGATTATATTTCCCAAGAACGGATCAATGCGAGAAATGCTCTTTGTTCAAAGTTGAAAATTTATCGGCAGAAGAATATTCAGAACATCAGCAGAAAAAAGAAGAAGCTAGAATAGAAAAGGACAAAGACAAGAATGAAGGAAAGATTGTGTTCACAGTTGACATGCAAGCAGTTATGATGGCACCAAAGTCAAAAATAAGTAGTTTTTATTACAGAATAAAAACTCCAGGTACATAATTTGACATTCTTTAATTTAAAAAACAGAGACAGATTTTGTTACTTATGGAACGAAACTGAAGGAGGACTAAATTCGGAAGAGTTTGCAAGTGTATGGGTTGATTTAATTGAAAAAAGGATTTTATCACAAAGTAGGTCACCAGAAGTATTTACAGTAATTTTTTACAGTGATGGGTGTACTTACCAGAATAGGAACTGTGTAATGTCAAATGCTTTGTTGTCCACGGCTATGAACCACAACATAATCATTGAACAAAAATTTCTCGAGGTTGGGCATACTCAAATGGAGGCTGATACTATGCATTCCACTATCGAACGAGTACTTAAGAACAAAGACATCAATGTTCCTGCAGAATATGTTGGAGTATGTAGGTCTGGTAGAAAAAAACCAAAACCTTGTGACGTAACCTACCTTGGTCATAAGTATTTCAAAAATTTTAACGACAGTGACCCTAAAGTGACTAATATACGAGCTCTGCGCTACACACCAAGTGGTGAAATATATTTCAAATTGAGATTCCCTGATGAATGGCAAACAATTCCGCAAAGAAAATCGTCGAATGTTGTTCCGTTGCTGTTCACTCAGCTTCGAAATCTCCATGCAACTGGAAGAAAGATTACTGCCGGAAAGTTTGAAGATCTGTAATATTTAAAAAGATAACTTCCTGAGGATTACCGTTCTTACTATGACAATTTACCTCATGACTGAAAAATTACAGTGGATAATATTTCAACGTTCCTAGTTATGTACCTTAATTACCTCTCTTATTAAGTAATGGAAATATTTATCAACACAAAGTATTGAATTGTTAAATAGTTTTTTTTGAGTTCCAATGTTACTTAGATGATTGTTTTGTTTTATTGAAGTTTATTTGGATTTGTAGTGCATTTCTTAATTACACCAATACCTTTATTTTTTATTACCCAAAAACCCTGCTAAGTCCATCACAATATATTCAGAACACATACAAAAACCTGCTAAATCACAAAATCGCATATAAAAGAGCAGGTTTAGTTATTTTTTGGTTTATTTATAGTTTTTACAATAAAATATTATAAAATAAATCAACTTTATTATGCACGACGCAAAACGACGAGATCGTCGTTGCTGTCCTCTGCAGGGCATAATGCCGTGCAGGTCTCGGGCCTCGGGGTGTACCCCTTTACCCGGATGTTCCTCACGGCACACTACAATGTGCCGGTCCTGGGCGCCTTGGTGTTACAGGCGTTGTTTTAGCGACTTTTGTCGCAGTAGGGTAATATGTCATTAAAAGAGGTTATCTCAATAATTGTGTTTAACACAAATTATTTTGTCAGAGTTGGCCTTTCTGCGGCATTGTGGGATTTACTCAACTCCCTAATCTATATAGGGAGGAGTTCTCCCTATATAGATTAGGGAGTTGAGGAATATAGGATGACATCGATAATCTTTGGAGCAACATCATCACCATGCACAGCATTATACATCAAAAATAAAAATGCTGAAGAGCATTCAGAGGCATACCCAGAAGCAGCGGTCGCCATAAAAAGAAATCACTATATGGACGATTACTTGCAGAGCTTCCACTCTATCACGGAAGCTCAGCAAACTGTAAAGGCAGTCGATCACGTCCACAAACAAGCGGGATTCGTACTCAGCGGGTGGACATCGAACGAAGAAAAAATAATAGAAGAAATAACAACAGAGCATAAACAACACGACGTGACCGTGCGCCTTGGCGGAAAAGAAACTGAGAAGACGCTCGGCCTGCTCTGGCATGTACAAAGCGATCATATTGGATTTAATACAAACAATATGAAGATGCCGATCGACGTAAAAGAAAAACAACGCTTGCCAACTAAACGTGAAGCGCTGAGCATAATAATGGCATTATTTGACCCGCTGGGGTTAATATCACCAGTGACTACCCCAGCGAAGAGAATATTCCAAGACACATGGCGTTACAAGGCGGAATTGGACGACCCTCTGCCAATAGAGTTAAAATAAAAATGGGAAGACTGGATTACTTCACTTCACGCCCTAGAACAATTGAGAATACCGCGATGCTACGATTACAACCCAGTGTCGACGCGGCAACTACACACATTCGTCGACGCAAGCGAGGAGGCCTACGCAGCCGCCGTGTATTGGAGAACGGAACAAGCAGACGGCAGCGTTAACATATCATTGGCCGTCGCCAAGAGCCGCGTGACACCACTGAAACCAGTCTCCATACTACGGCTCGAGTTACAAGCAGCACTACTGGGAGTCGTCTTGCGCAGACCGTGATCAGTGAGCACGATGACGATATAGCGGGCAAGACATACTGGTGCGACTCTCGTACTGCACTAGTGTGGATAAGGTCGGAGCCCCGCGCGTACAAAGCTTTCGTCGCTCATCGCCTGGCGGAAATAGAAGATACGACCAAAAAGAACGAATGGCGTTGGCTACCGTCTAAAGAAAACGTGGCAGACGACGCGACCCGAACCACGCCAGAGAGGTTCGACGAGTCGCACCGGTGGTTCCGAGGGCCCCCGTTTCTACAACGTCCACCGGCTGAATGGCCGCAGGAAGAGAAAACAACGCAATACGACACTGGGGAAGAGCGAGAAATATGTAACATCACAGTTAAAAGTGAAGACTCGCCAACAACACATCTGCCACAAATAGAAAGATTTTCAAAATGGATTCGCCTCATAAGGGCGACAGCGAGAGTCCTCCTATTCATCTACATGTGCAGACCAAACAAGCACGTGGTGAAGGCTGGGCGTAAACGCAACAAAGCAAGACCAGATAGCGACCCTGGCTGGCAAAGAACAAACCGACGCAACACCCCCACCAAGGAGAAAAGGGCAACACCTACTGTCTCATCGCTTGTAGGAATACCAGCCGCTTATCATATAAGAGCCGAACAACTGTGGGTGCAAGCCAGTCAGCGGGAAAGCTTCACGAACGAGCTTAAGCCCTAGCCGACGTGTTTTGGCGCAGATGGGTGAAGGAATATCTGCCCCTACTCCAACACCGGCGGGAGCCCAGCAGCATAGGCGCATCGCCGAAGATTGGAGACCTGGTCATCATTTGTGACCCCAATCTACCGCGCAACATCTGGCCCAGGGGAAAAATAAGCAACTTATATCCTGGCGTCGACGGAGAGGTACGAGTAGTGGACGTAACCACTAGCAGTGGGCATGTACTACGAAGACCAACAAAGAAGATCGTCGTGCTACCAGAGGGATCGCAGCGTGGCGACGGCGGGAGAATATGCACGACGCAAAACGACGAGATACCTGCGTAGTACAACCAGCACGGGTTGAGCAACTTAGGGGCGGTGGGCGGAGCCACGGGGGTCGCGTCCGGCGAGGTTCGACAACTAGCAAGGGTGCATACAACAACACAGAAAAACAGCCGTAGTCTTAATTATTGTATTTATTTAAACATGTATAGCTTATGTTCAATAATAAAAAGAATGATGTTGTAACTATGCAATAACTCTCCCAATAAAGGCATCGAATAAATAACGAGAGTTAGCATAGATTTTATAGTTAAATTGTAACTCTTATAGTTAAATTGTATTCTTATAGTTAAATTGTACTCTTATAATTAATTTGCCTTTGTTGCATATCACCTTTATTATATATTACTTACATATTACCATTCATATAAATTACCTTTCTAGTAAAAAAGATAATTGTAACAACAATAGGGCATGTTATCGTGACGCGGCCGCGGAGCAAATGAAGCTACGCGTAGGGCGACACGACGTTTTATATTTATAGTGCTGAGGTGCGGGGCAGGGTTCTCAGCTTAAAAATTGTGAATTACTAAGTTTAAAACCTTTTAGAGTGTAAGATAATTATTGTGTATATAATAGTATAAGAAATAGATGTAAGAATATTATATAGTTAAATATGTTTGTAAATAAATAAGAGTTTTATAGAAATAAAGAAAGGCGCGGGGGTGAGGCAAGGGTCCGCTGGCCAGCAGCGGCCAAATCATATAAAAGACGGGCCGGCCGGTAGGGTCGGCAGTCGCTCTCCAGCCACCGAAAAGGCTACTACAAGAAGAAAAAGTACAAGTTCCTCCTCACCGCCGCTTGCCTCCTATATAAGCAAGAACAACGCGTTTTATTCATTTTTCGAACGGCGTTACGGCGATCTGTAACATTTATTTTTGTTTTGTTTCCTAAGCAGCAATTATATAATATATTAAGTTTTTTGTCTGTCCTGCAAAATTTACTTTAAGTGAGTTAGCAGGTTTACACTCTAACAGCTCGTTCACACTAGTCGTAAGTCGCATATGACTAAAAGTCGAAAGTCTGATGTACCTGTTCACACTGTTTCGCGCCATTCGGTACGTAGCGAACTCACGAGATGGACGCCGACGAAGAACTTGTTGTACTACTTACGAAGAAAATTAAAAAAGTCAATTCCAAGAAAATACTGGATGTACCAAATCCTAACAGAAAGATCGACTTTAGGAAGTTATAAAAATTTAATACATGAATTAAAAAATGACGAACGAAAATTATTTAATTATTTTAGAATGTCACAAGCAACTTTCAACGACCTACTGTCAAGAGTTTTGCGAGCATCACGTATCGGAATACGACATTTAGAGCACTTGTCCTGAAGAAAGACTGTCGATATTTCTTAGGTAAGTGTTTTTTTTAGAACCACACTACAACTGCTACAAATATTCAGATTGTATTTGTAGTGTAGTAGTCTGATTGTAGCAGTTGTAGTGTGATTTCTTAGGTGTATTGAAATTGAAACAAAAGTTATTTTAACTTGTTTATTTTAAGTAGGTAAACAGCGCAACATATTACAATAATTCAAAAATCGGAGAAATTTAATTCAATACTTTCCGACCAAGTAGATGCAGCAGGCGATCCTTCCTCATACGTTTGACGTCTTTCATATCCAGACCCATGTGGTGTAAGAACAGCCTGGTTTTGAGAGGAATATCCGGATTCATCGGTAGATAAATAATTATAATTCTGTGTCGAATACCCCGATCGCCGTGTGCTATCACGCGCGTAATTATAATTATTTGCATAAAGTCTGTTTTCACGTTTCTTTTTGATTTGTTGTATCATTGATAATACATCTGATTGAAGCTCCAACATTTCGTCATCGTCGAAAGACGTAACAGAGGGTAGGATACCTTTAAAAAATGATAAAATTGGGGGATCAGTTTGTTGTGATAGCCTGCTGTCTAAAAACTCGCTCATTTTGACATCTAAGTCCATTATATGTTGCTGTGGTGGCATGGTCTTTTAGAAGTGCTTGGTTGCGAATTTTCAGACAACTGAGTACTGCCTTCTGTCCCTGGTTGAGATATACGCGGCGCAACAGACTCTTGAGGAGGATTAGGTCTAGCAACTTTACGCAAAAAATCCATTTGCTCTTTATATACACATGGCTTTGACGACTTTGCCCCTGATCCTGATTTTTTTTTCATCATTTTTGTTTGTTCGGATCCAGACATTCCGTAAGTTCGTCCACTTGGTCAATACTAATTTACCTGAAATTATATTGCAACATTATTTTCAGATATTGTGCGTCAGGATGTTCCTTCAAAGACCTGCACTACAATTTCAGAGTCGGGGTATCAACTGTTAGTAAAATTATCAAAGAAATGAGTTGCTATTGGGATACATTAAAAGAATAGTTTATGAAGTTGCGCGACAATGAAAATAAATGGGAAAACATCGCAAATGGTTTTGATATTAAAGCTAACTTCCCACACTGTAGGAGCTGTCGACGGCAAGCATATTAGAGTAGTGAAACCAAATCAAAGCGGCTCGATGTATTTCAATTACAAAGCTTATTTTTCATTTGTTTTACTAGCTGTTGTTTGATGCAGAATACCGTTTCTTTTGTATAAGTGTAGGTTCATATGGGAAAGAATGCGATTATTCCATATACAAGGAGACTACCTTTTGGAAGAAACTGAATGATGGTAGTTTAAACATACCAAAGCCAAGGCCTCTTCATGAAACAATCGAAAAGGATATGCCCTATGTACTAGTTGGCGATGAAGCTTTCCCCGTGACGATAAATTTAATGAGACCTTTCGGAGGCAATCATTTGGATGATACGAAAAGAATATTTAATTATCGATTATGCTGTGCAAGAAGATTTGTTAAGTGTGCTTTTGGAATTTTAGCTAATAAATGGAGAATACTGCATCGACCATTGGATGTCCACCCAGACACAGCTATCCATATTGTGAAAGCCTGTGCAGTATTGCATAATTATTTAAGAGAAAGGGATGGTCTAAACTTTGAAGATATTCAACTTGCACTAGTACAATCGATACAAGAACAAGATCAACAACAGAGAGTACATAATCCTCGTGATGGTCCGATTGCAAATGTTATACGATCGGACTTTGCAGACTATTTTACTTCCCCGATTGGTTCGCTGCCTTGGCAAACTAATGCGCGATACGCATAATATAAATGAGTTAAAAATTAATAATACAACTGTAAATACATAACTATATAGTATAATAGTTAATAAACTTTACTGGCACTTACCGAAATGTTGTCTTTCTTTTTCTTCCATGTTTTCAAAATTAGGTATTAGTATGCTACAAATTTCGCGCCAGGCCAATAGTTTCAGATTATTATTTTTGTAGTCATTTAAAGTTTTATCCCAAAGGACCGCTCTTTCGTGAACTAATGGAATTAGTTCTTCGGGTTTTATTTCTTTCTCCATTTTCACACAACAAACAAAAACAGCGCGCGCGCAACCAACACGACGAATAAAACACGAATGGAGTGAGCAAGCAATATGTAGCGAACTAGGAAGCGGGGTGGGGAGAGAGGTAACAACGCGCTCGAGTCGATTAGATGCACGACTAGTGTGAACAGCAACATGCAGGCATCTATGCGAGCACAATTCGACGCGATTTTTAGTCTTACAACGGGCGCTGGCCCGTCGGATAGTTTTTTGAGTCGTATTAGACTAAAAATCGCGTCTCATCCAATGTGAACAGCTCCATATAAAGTGTATGGTGACCACAGCATTCGACTTTTAGTTATATGCGACTTACGACTAGTGTGAACCGGCTCTAAGGTGACGATATGTAACTAAATTTTCTTTACAAGTTTCTTTACTCACCTCGAAGAAATTACTTTTAAGGCTGGTGTTATTTTCAACAGTAACTCATCCACGGAAGTTTTATTTAGTCTAAACCTATACGTAAATTTGGAGTCAGAATATTCACTTCTGTAATTTATTCGAGTATAAACTCGGTGATTTTCAGTATCTACAACACCTTCGGAATCAAAAACACCGATCTCATACATTTCGTTATCACTTTAATCACTGAACACATCCATTTTTAGAAGTAAAATAGCTTTTATTTATTTAAAAACACGACAAATATTTGCTAACTCTCAAAATTGGGCGATGGACAAAACTCTGACATCTGGTAATTTGAACTATCGCCAGTTAACTGCCAAAACGTTATTGAAACACTCAGCTGTTTTTTCCTATGAACCCACTTAACTCAGGTAGTCGGTAAGCCGTCCGAACGGTAGTTCAATGTGATGGTTAAATATTTCTATCTATCTTCAATTATTGAAACGGAATTATGTAACTATAGATACCAATGGTAGACCTTTTAACTTCCAGTAAGGGATAGATGGGTTATTGAGACCAGCCGTAAGTCATGGAGGGAATTCGTGTATAAAAGAAAATTTTCTTAAGTTATGGAAGGTGTTCATGTATAGATGGCTTGTATATTCCATACAGCTGCTGGAGACGCATACCCAAGGTCGTGGTCGTACATACATATTGGGTGTTCGGGTGCCCACCGCTTGAAGTATTGTGTACTACAATAATAAATGACTAGTCCTATTGGGGACTTATGATAGTAAGATCTAATATTCAAATTCAAATAGCCTTTATTTCTGATAATATACTACAATTTGGAGAATTATTATTATTGCAACATTTTAAAATTTATTGTACCTACTAAATTATTAACAATTCAATTTAATCTTCGACATCGGTAACGTTATTATCAGAATGCCATTTGGCATAGGCCGCCCCTAGGGTTTTCCATATTTCCTTGTTTGCAGCTTCTCTTTGTAATGATGTTGTGTCTAATTGTTGATGTCATCCTCCCATCTTAATTTCTGGCGCCCTTTCCGTCTTTTTCCACTTCTGGGGTACCATACTTAAAAGTTAAAAGCATAATTTATCGATTCCACGCGTACGCTGACTTATACTTTTTTCTTAGGAAAATATCAGAGTCGTGGAGTGAATTGATCAAAATACCAGTTTTGATATTACGCCACATTCATCTCAAGTTGGGCTTATGGAATTACCATATGATCAAGCCACTGAGACCACAGCAATCCCAGGGATTGGTGCAGAAAAACTGGATAGTATAGCGCAAAAGCTAGACCAGTTAATAAGCGTTGCATCAGCGAATGAAGTAAATATACAAGTACTTTATGATAATCATCAAAATATTTTACAAAAACTTGCATTATTAAACACCAAATTAAAAGAATTGGTGGTTTTCGGTAACAGTAACTGACGTTAACCAGCAGGGCAATAAAGACTATAATTTCAAAATTATAAGCAACCTACAGGAACTCACTACTTTCGAGGAACGTTTAAGTAATCCTCAAGCTGAAGAAGATATTATAAAGTTACTTCCTGGAACTTGTACGAAAAGCAAAGGTCGCACATATAATAACGCTTACGTATTAGTCAGTGCCATGTTCACTCGGTAATTTATGACCCAATGTTCTTGGGTAAGAGGTACCAGAGGGGAACCAAAAATATGTTTTAAGTCTTATACTAAAACTATATCATTATTTTTTTAAATAATACGCCAATCTGAAAATAACTTCACAATACCAGAGTGTGAATCATTTTTAAAAAATGTTATGAGACATGCTGTTAAAAGGAATTAAGCCAAACTGCTGAGGGCTTCTGCTCACAAGAATAAACCAAAAAAAGCGAAAGTGTTGCAAGAAAATAATCGCCAGTCAGTTGAAGAGCAACGTGATGTCCAGAATGTACACCTAGAAAATGCACCACATCAAAAAGAAAATGTCTCACAACTTTATTTGACCAGCTAGATTGGGATGCAGTTCCTATGATGGAAAGATATGATGACGCGTATCAGGACGGTCATGATAGATAAAACATCTTCTCATTCTTTCGAATATGTAAATGAATCAGTGACTATTTGATTATTTAGGTTGTTCGATAATTTAATATTGTTTCTTGTTTTTCTGTATTTCTTTATGTTAGTTTTGTAATCTTTCACTTGTGAAATAATTAGATAATAACTTCTAGTTAGCGGAATCCTTCCATTTCTTAATTATAGAGTTAATTAGCAGGTAAAGATATTACAAATTTGAAGTTTATGTATTGTCATGTTGCGATTTTGTAAGTTCTATTTGTGATATTTTTTTTTAATTTTTAATAGCAAAATAATAAATAATAAACAATTTTTACTGCCTTCTTTATTACCTATTTCTTAAATGTATGAATAAGCGGAGCAAAATATATATTTGAGTTGTATGTAACGCTAACCAACTTACACTTTATATCGGTAATATAATATATGGCTTCAGTTTCCAAAATTTCATTCTCATATATAATAAATATATTGAGATATGAAGATTTAATAGGCGTTTCAAAAACATCATTCCTTAAGTTTTTAATTCGATTTCCAATTATCTGCATACATCCCGTAGTAGTATATACTTCACTTTTAGTGCCAAAATTACTACTAATTTGAATTCTAAACTTTTGTTTTTGGAGAAATTTATATGAAAATGTTTGGAAATATATATATTTTTATGTAGTTATGCATCCCGGTATTCACGGAACTGCACCGGAGACCATAACAATTCAAGCGTAAGCGTGGGCGTAGATTGCTGAATTGCGTCTGGAAGACGGGTGGTCTTTCCTGTGAATACTGATAACTGTTCTTTAGCTTAAAGATCTAGAATAAGAATTAGGATAGTCTTAGTTTGGCTCGCACATGTATCGCACATGTAGCCTTAGGTTAGAATCCATCGCGGATTAATTAAGTAGTATATAAGTAATGTATCGCACATTAATAGTTATAAGTTTATTAATAAAGTCTTTATAAAAACGTCCTGAGTCAATTTCGAATCTTGACTGGCGCAGCCGGTAGGATTTCGCGTGTAAAGCTTGCTCATATAAGAAGACTCCCAAATCAGTCGTCGTGAAGCAGTTTACGGTGCCGTCTTGCACTTTCGCGAAATCTACGAACTGAAATAAATTTGTCGAATTCGAAACAGGACATCAAGAAAGAAGACTTCCTAGCCCAGGCGAAAGGATGAGTTCGAGTGTACTGTGAGTAAACCTTTTCACGTCCATCTCTGTTCCCATCTATTTTTGCTTGCTAGAATTATAGTGTTATTTGATTTTTCTTAAATCAAACAAATTAAATTGCACAAGCATAGGCAATTTAGTATATATCATTAAGTTTAATAGTTAAGTATTGAAAATTAATTTAAAATAAAGAAAATCTATTAAATTGTGTTATAAAGAATAAAAATTACATAATTAAAGAAATTAAAGGATATATTAAAGAAATAAAAGGATATATAAAAGAAATAAAAGTGATAATTATATAAATTAAAATTAATAATTAAATAAAATAAAAAATAAATTAATAATTAAATATTATATAAATTGTTATATTAATATTAAATAAAATGGAACAATTACGTGTAATAGCTAAGGACTTAACTTTGCTTTATCTTCCCCATAGAACCAAATATGTTATATTATGTAAGTATAGGTATAGTGTATGTACTACACACCTTTTATATTGATATTGATATTAATACAGTATGTCTGTGTTAACTGTGTTCGTTAGCACTACTCTTTAACCCACTGCCTAATTACTATTAGTCTATAAGTTGTAGTTACGCGTAATTTGAGGTTCACACACCGACTCGTCAGTGAAGTCACAAGGTTCCAACTGAAAACCAGCGCTGCCTCTGCAGCATTATGCTGAGTTGGAGACCTATTTGATGTGACATTTTTATCTTAGAATTCTTTTTTTTTTATTTTTTTTTTATTTCATTATTAATTAATATCATGCATGTTCTGCTTATTAAATAATTTTTAATGCGTAAGCAGTCTTACACCTCTGCATGCATATTCTTTGTCCATTGTAATTTATATTTAAATTTCAAAAATTGTGTGTAAAGTGTGATTATCAAATAAATGGTTCTTTCTTTCTTTCTAAGGATTTACTTTGTCTTATACCTAAGTTTGAAGGAGAGGAAGGATTATTAAATTTACTTATTAGGAAAGCTCAGTACATATACAGGTCTTTCGCAGACCCTAATAATGCCACTCAAACATTATATGTATTCCATGCGATAAGCAGCCGATTAACAGGTAGGGCAGCACATTTGTTAAGTGAGCGTGATGATATTAATTGTTGGAATACGCTTAAAGATATTTTAATTCAACATTTTGGCGATCCGCGTTCGGAAGATTGCATAGCTATCGAATTAGAACAAATGAAAATTAAGTCTGGTGAATCATTTATCGATTTTTGTCATAGAATACAACATATGCGTAATACCTTATTCGCCAAAGTCAATCTAATACAGGATGAAGGAGTAAAAGCAGCCAAAATGATAGTGTATAACAATATGTCATTAAATGTATTTCTTTATAATTTACCCGAGGATTTAATT